ATATGTTTAGGCCTGGATTTTTCTTTGGCCTGACCTATATTTGGTGCTTTGCTGAAGGTGGGAGCTGTGGTTAGTATTGATCAAAGCCTCAAGCAAGCCTGAATGCTGTATCATGAGACCCTGGGGTCTTTGGCCAAAATTATGGTGTGGAGACTGAGCTGGATACTTGCAGCGTCCTGGAATATTCAGACACGACCATGGGGTATAGAGGGAGTGTCACTTGGTCCAGGACATCGTGCTGTGCTGTCAGTGCCAGCTCAGGGCCCTCTGGCTGATGCTGGCTGCCTCTGGAAAGCCTGCCTGGCTTCCCTGGGGCTCTGCACAGGAGAGCAATGGCTTCCCATGCAGGAGTCTGTCTAAAAGGTCTGCTGTGGCAGAGTGGTTCAGTGTGCCAGGAGGGGATGTGGGATCAGGACTCCTGCTGTGCTGGGAGATGGCACCTCTGGGATCCTGTTGGACCTGCTTGGCTGATTCTCTGTCTGAATTATGGATGTATCAGAAGTGTCACCAGGAACCCACCACCCTCCAAACCAAGTCCTGCGTGTGTCTCCCAGAACAGATGCAGAGGCTCCATGGTGGCTTCTTGCTGACAGCCATAGGTGGATCTACAGCCTAATTTAATGTAAAGATGAGGTCAAGTAAGGCAGTGGCACACTCTCCCATTAATCCGTGATGCTTTACTGATGCCTTGACCTGTGAGAATGAGCAGGCAGGTGGATGGATCCTTGGAATTACCGAGCTGAGCAACATAATCAGCTGCTTTAAATCAAAGTTTAAAGGCAGAGCTTGTGCCCTGATACCTGAGGTAGAGCCCTTTTTGTTTTTATATAATTCTGAATGTATAAGACATGGATTAATGGCAAGCTATGGCCAGCCTGATTCCTTGAAAATCTGTCCCAGACCTCCACCTGAGTTCACTGCTTCCTGTAACAGTGGCCAGCAGTGGGTAGTTTCTTTTGCTTTGGCATGAGATCCTGCTGTGTTACCACGGGACTAATTTGAGGGTTTGCAGAACAGTGGTGTCAGCACAGCCCTTTCTGGAGGGGACCCCATTCTCTTGCTTTGGCATGAGATCCTGCTGTGTTACCACGGGACTAATTTGAAATTGCATTGAGGGTTTGCAGAATAGTGGTGTCAGGAGCACAGCCCTTTCTGGAGGGGACCCCAGCAGGCTTCAGAAGGCCCCTCCTCGGCTCCGAGGGCAGCTCCTGCAAACCAGGAGCAGGGTGTGAGGAGGTTCCATGGCACAGCTGGCTGCAGCTCGCCCAGAGGGCTGGCACAGCACACTGCCTGCTGGCTGCTGTGGGCCAGGGGCTTGTGAGGGATCACAGTGAGCAGCAGCTTTTCAGGCAGCACAGACCAGTGCTGGAAAGCCAGATCCCTGCATGTGCTAGGGTGGTGTAAGGGCTTCCCTAATCACTTCTGTGCCATCCACATCAAAGAGGGGCAGCATGAGGACTGACCCAGATTCTCTGCTCCTGGGTGCCTTTTGACAGTGGTGGATTCACTGCTGGCACATCTCTGTTGACCTCCATAGACTCTTACAGCTAATCACTTGCAGGGATTGTCTTTAATCTTTTGACACCCTAGTCCAAGCATTCCTGCCTCTCCACATCAGCAAATTAGGTTATTAGCTCTTAATACCTCAAAATCTAGACCTTCTGTGCCAGAGGGTAGCAGAGAAACAAGATTAGGGAGATTGTTTCCAAAGCCTAGCATTTCCCAGCAGTGTTAGTAGCTGATCAGCGCTTGAGAATGTCAAGCAAAGAGCCAGCCGTGAGATGAGGAAAACCCTCAAAACAATTCAGAGTGAAGAAGATCCCTGAAGAACATGGATGTGATTGCATGCTGCCCCTGGAAGTTTAGCAGCCAGAATACTCAGGAGTGCCTCTGGACTCCAGGAGCACAGACATCCTTGCTGAGGGAGCAGCAGCCACATGTGCTTTGTCTCGGGCCTGTTGCTGCCATGGGCAGAGCAGGCTGGAGAACACCCAGCTGGGTGGCCTCTGCTGGTGGATATCTCCTGGATGGGAGAAGAACTTCCACGCTCCTAAGAGCAGAGAAACAATTTGGATGAGCAGAAGAGAGACGGGTCAGTTTTACAGAGGATAAAAGGTGGAGTCCTGGGATGAAGCATGGGGCATATTGCCACTGAGGTCCTGGTTGCTCTGAGCCAACTTCAGTGCTACAGGAAGCAGACATCAGTGTCTGATTTTAGGGGAGATTTTCCCTCTGGTGGGTGATCTCTACATGTGTGCTAAGTGGAGGAGGTGGTGTGTGCTGCATAGGGCCACGGCTTCAGGAGTTACAAACCTCAGAAATCAAGCTAGAACTGAGAAAATCTTGATTTTTCTGCTCTCCAGCCCATCAAAAAGGGAAGTAAGCATTCTGAGAAGTAAAATTCATATGTAGGATTTTGCAGGGTGAAAGTTGACCTGTGAGAAACCAGGTAGCTATTATGGGTAAGTTTACCCTTAAGACTGATGCTGTAGCATGCAGGGGAGCAGGCTCAGTTTGTCTTGTGTGGAGCCATCAGGGGATGCTCTCATACAAGCCTTCACTTCAGAGCTCTTCTTTTCAGCTCAGCTGAACTAGGTTCAGTCCCCAATAAGTGGTCAAGGGACAGCTAAGAGGCACTTGTCTGGTGTTTGGATTTCAGGTACTCACTTCAAAAGGAGGAAACATCACTGCACTGACAATCAGTGGCTCTACAAATGCCTCCTTATGCTCAGCTCCTGCAGGACCAGCTCATTGCTGGGTTACAGTATGACAGTATTAATGATTTAAAACTCAAATTTGATCATGTTTTTACCCAAGCTGATTGCTTTCCTGATTCCTTTTCTGCCTCACTGATCTGTACAACTCACGCTGTAGTTTCCAGCATGTTAAGATTTATGTGGAGTCCTTGGTGGCTGCAAGGCACAGTTTAGGCCTTCAGGAGCTCAGCAGTTCTGCCTCAGGACGTGGTTTTGACCAGCGGGGTGAGCACTGCCAGTGCTCATGAGCTCCTTTCACCCATGGAGCACGGTTGCTTTACATGTGTGGCTTCCCTGTATTACATTAATCAAATGGCTGAGAAACTTCAGCTAAGTGACTTGGGCCCTAAAGATGTCTGAGACTTAACTGTCCAAGAGTTAACTGCTTCAGGGAGACCCACTCTGATGTCTGTGAAATGTGAGCAGCCTGTACAGGTGGCAGACATGAGCACGTTCCCCTACAATCCGATCTGGAATCACCACAAGAGCCCTTGTGATTCCCACAGGATCTTGGTCTATCAGTTCTGTGCAGTAGGTCCTTGCTGGAAAGCTGCATTTAGGCATCTGCATCTTACTGTGCTCGTTCAGGTGCCTGAGGAAAATTCCTTGGGAAAACATTATCTTGCACCTTCAAAATCATTGTCAGAGGATGTCAAAGAACAGGAGGAAGACTTGACTCCTTGTAGCCAGGCACCTTGCTTTCATAGGTGTGCTGTGCTGCGTGGTGACACCCCTTAGGCCAGGGACAGAGGTTATGAGACAGAGCCCTTTCCTGTGGGGGCTGCCCTTTGCTTCAGAAATGCTACTTCTGTGTGCAGAGCTGAAGTTTACAGCTGTAAAATCCCCACCAGCATGCATCCATGCTGAGGCAAGTGCAGAGGACCTTAAGCAGCATCCTGAAAGCTGAGTGGAATAATGTCCAATCATTCTATAAACTTCCTTGCAAAATTTGCTCAATCAGAATGAAGGGGCACACTGATGTAGAATGTGAGATTTAACTGAGGATCTCTGAATGGAATTATGAACCCAACTCCATGTTCCTGTATTTGGAAATTTCCATCAAAAAGCATCTTAATTTATCTATGTCTGTGTGCTGTGAAACGTGTTGTCAGCTGGCAGAAATCTGGTTTGACCCAAGGGCTTTAAAAACCTGTTTTTTTGCTTCATGTAGGAGTTTCCAACAGGTAAATGGTTGCATAAAGAGATTTTACACTGGGCATAAATTACATTAATTTTTTAGAAAACCATGCTACTAAGAGACTGTAGAGATTTTTCAGGTATAATGGTCAGTATCTTTTTACAGCATTTGTTTCATTAGCAGTTTTGGAAAAATCCAGTATTGGAGAAATTTGAGAAACTATTTTTGCTGACACTGAAATAGAACTGAAAATGATGTTACTTTTCATGTGACTGAATTCATGCACAAGTATGACTGGAGGGTACAGTCAGAAAATTAATGTATATGTTCAGATCCAAATCAGTGAAAATGAACCATCTCCCATCTTCCTCCTTCAGCTATACATCTTTGAAGGAGTGTTTGAAATGCACTCCAGAACTGGGAAATATAGATTTGAGGAGAAGCTTCTACTGAGGGGACTTCCTAGAGCTGCAAAAAGAATCATATTGAAGATGTTACCTCCAAATGACTGCTTTTAATCTGACCTTTTGAATACTATTAATTAAATTAAAGATTAGCTCATTCACTGGTGTTTTCTTCTAAGATCTGAGTTGCAGGCTCATGCAGCCTGCAGTGAGAATTCTTCCTCATTTCTGTGGCTTTGGAAGGTGACAAGTGAGATGAACTGCACAGTGACCCCTTTATATTCTCCAATGCATACAAATTCCTGGGTTTTGTTCGTTACACTTTGCTGGAGTGTTGACTTGAGTGTTTGTCCCAAAACCTGTGCAGATGCACACAGAGCTGTAGTAAAGCTCATCAGTGTGCTGGTAAAGCCTGAGCTCCTCCTTTGCTGTAAAGCAGCAGCCCTCACAGACTCCATGGGGACACACAGCCTGACATGGGTGACATCTGAGTCCGTAGGTACCTCCTATGTGGCAGTTCCTGTCTCCCTTGCAGCTGTACCCCCAGCAACCACAGAAAGTGTTTCCTGTCTTCCTCAAGTTCCCAGCACGTGTGGGGACAGCTCCCTCAGAGCGACAGGTGGCACCTGGGCACACACTGCTGATGTGGCAGTGGTGCTGGCGAGAGCCTGGCTGACAGCCTGTCTTTGCCTGTTTCCCCAGGTTGTTGCGCTGTCGTCGTGGAGTCTCTTGAGGGATTCGATCTACTACACGCTGTCTGTTGTTGCTCTCATCGTGGTAAGTTTCTGAAGGTTTTCCATCTGTGGGAGCCCGTGTTCTACTGCCACCTCTAAAGGGAGCCTGACATGGCATAGCAGTCGTGTAGCTGAGATCCCAGCTCGAGCATTCTTGGGAATTTCTGCTTGTGGAAAACTGCTTGTGGTCTCCCTGGTTGTGCTGGGAAGCTTGGCCCGAGGGCAGGAGATGGAGGAGTGTCTGGGGAGCCCAGAGGGAAAGCTGGAGCAGAGTGTGGTGGCCCAGTGCAGACGTGGGGAGCAGAGCTAAACCCACGTTCTGAGCCCTGGGCAGCCCTGCAGTGCGTGGGTCAGTGCTCTCCTGGCCTTCATGACTTGCTGAAATTCACGTAATTAACCTGTAAGGGGGCAGCACTTGTGCCCAGAGGAGAGAGATCCTGAGCAGCTACTACAAAACCTTCAGGTTAGTTTTCCTCACATAATAGGGGCAGGTTCAGTGGGTGCTGACAGCAAGTCCTCAAACCAAAACTACATTTTCAGCAGTTCTTAGTGCTGTGCCTATCCCAATTTTCATCAAGCTCAGAAAATGCTCCAAATCTCTCAGAATTGGGCTATTCCATGAAAAAAATTTTGGCACAAGAGTTCAATAAAGACACTGCTATCATTTTAGCATTACCTTTGCAACCAATACCAAACAGTGCCAGGAAATGTAAAAATTGAATTTTCAGGTAGCAGTTGCATGTCTTTTTTTTCCCCCCACCCTAGCCTAGTACCCTAGATTCCCTAAGACAGGAAGAGTGATTCTGGGAGGTTAACTTCCCTATGTCAGCAAGAAGGGGACTTAGAGTCAGAAGAGGGTGGCTTGCAGTCTAGTTTACCTTGGTTATTGTGTTTCAGCAGTGGGTTTTGGTTTGTTTCCTGCTGAACAAGTCTGTGTTTCCAGATATACTCTGTACCTGCAAAGGCCTCTCTCTGCCTTATCCCAAACAGGGGGTCCTTCTCAACCCGTTTGTACTTTTATTCCCTGTACTGCAAGGCCAGCCATTTTGTACCTGGTGAAAAATAACTTTTCTACATGATTACTAGCAATGAGCTGCAAAACAAAAAGCTTTTTGTTTTGTTTTGTTTTGAAAGCTTGACAGTAACCTCATACCAAAAAGTGTTGCTAAACAACAAACAGAGCCACACATACTCATTGTAGTGAATTCCATTGCCCAAGTTTAAAGACATCCAGCAGGCATTCTCTTAGTTCACTCCACAGGAAGCACAGATGTGGGCATCTGCCTGGCATCTGGCCTCCTGGTGCTTGGATTGGACATTTCATTTATTGCATGGAGGCAGACAAGTTGAAAATCGGTTGATTCTGTCATCAGTTTTAAATTCTTTAAGCAGGGCGGGGTTTTTTCATGGCTGGTTCATCCCTGTGGTTGTCAGCTGCATCAGGATGTGGAGAACAATTCTCTACTCTTCTGTGTCCCTGAAATTCCTGTATACTGTTTCTGTGTCATGAGAAACTTGTATGGCTTGGAGAGCAGACATCTTTGTTACTCCTAAGACTTCTATACTTTATTTCTGTACAAGCTGTTCTTTGTAATTACAGAACTGAGAGTCCTTTTCTGTTGGGAGTGTACCCCATAATACCAGGACACGGTTATTTTTTCCCTAAGCTGTGAGTTAGCTTCTCTCCAGCTGTATGCCCACTCTTCTCCTCATCTTTTCATTGGAGGAGTTCAAGACCCTCCAGGCAGCCAGGGTAGCAGAGTGGTGACACTCCAGGCATCAGTGCAGGCTTGAAGGCATTGCCAGAATTTTTATTTCCGTGTTACAGCACCACCTGGCTAATTTGGCTTGGGAGAGGTGGAGCACATCCCAAGTCTTTCAGTGTTACTCCGTAACAATCATTGCAAATGACCTAGGGAAAAGCAGAGAAAGATGGGAGGGAGGGACAACATTTTAAGTCTTTAAAGGTTTCGCTTCTTGCTAGCTGATGTATCAGCCCTTTTGTATACAATATTGCCCCCCAGTTGATAGTGCACAAGAATTTTTCCTTTCAGAGTCAAACTCTGCGTCAGTTTAAGAAGTTTCCCCTTGCCTTCACTCACCTAAGGAACCTCTGGCTTTCCAGTGTCTCTAATTTCTCCTTTCCTTTTAAGACAGAATCAAATGGAGGTGGCAGGACCTCAGTTGTTCCTCAAATTCTGACTCTCTAGTGCCCCATGGCTCAGGTGGGAGATGAGCTACGGGCTCTATGCAGAGCACAGCATAACCTGCCTGTGGTTCCTCCTCCATCAGATTTGTGTGCTCCTTTTAGAAGATGCTTCAGTGCTTTGTGTGCAGGGATAATTTTTCCATATGAGGGCATTGAGACTTTTCTGCAGCTCGAATAGAGTCATCAATCTTGAAAAATTATATTGTTTGTAGAAGTTTGTTCTCATGGCATTTAAACAATGGCCTGTGGTGCTGTGTTAAAAGTTGCACTCCACTGGCATCTTTACTAATCATAAATACACCTGAGGGGAAATAAATATATTCCTTCCATTGCTGAGATACAGCAATTTAAAAAAACCTGATACTGTGCTGGGTAAAGCAATATGACTTTGTCTCTATTTGCACTAGAAAAGGAAGTACAATGCTGTTGTAAGAAATAGAGCAGTATAGACTCACCTGTTTGCTACTCCAGGCCATTTGATGAGAGAGTGAACTCTGAACCACAGAGGTCAGAAGTGGATGTAAACCACATTTACTGTACTTAATTCATCTTGATTTAGATTTTTTTAAACTTTATAATAATATTACAATGCTACCTTGTCCTCTAGTAGAGTTTAACAAAACTTCTTAATCTGTTGAAAGGAAAAAGATGCCTGTGTATCTTAACTTGAAGGGACATGGTCAGAGTCATTAGAGTCAAAATTGAGATGGGTGCTATTTTTAGTCACAGAAGTCAGTGCACACGCTTTCACATCCCATCACACCAAACAGTGTAACCTAAAACAGGCCTTGTCAGATTAGATCATGGTGACTGGGAACTGTAATTTACAACGTTTTGTGGTCATGTTTTCTTCCAGTAACCAGCGTAGCTCTTGCCTCGTGCCGGCTGTCACACAGGAGTTGCTATTTACGGCTGTATGGCCAAGGGGAGGTGTTCACTGTGCTTTCAGGGCCTCGATCCTTTTCCCTCCTGTTTCCGTTCCTTTTCCCTCCTGTTTCCCTGGGGCACAGCTGTGGATCTGTAATCCCTGGTGCAGGCACACGTTTCCCTGCTGGTGCTTTGGAAGGGCTGAATAGACCACAGCCTGTCATTGTGGCCACGAGGGCTCCATGCAATTCCAGCTCCAGCCTCCTATGGAGGCACTGGCACCGTGGGCCCCCTCTGCAGCCATCCCACTGCGGTGGGAGGAGAACTGGAGCCACGGGGAGTAGCAGGGCTAGTGGAGCACGGCAAGGGGAAGGGCTTGGTCATGGAGCATGGAAGCTACTGCCCATGTGAGCCTTCAGCCACTGCCAGTGTGAGCCTTCAGCCATTGCCAGTGTGAGCCTTCAGCTGCTGCCCATGTAGGCCCTTCCCTCACCCCTTGCCATGGTGCTGCCGCTTCCTTCACAACCCTCACCATGGTGCTGGTTTTCCCTTGATGCCCCTCAATGAGGCGCTGGTCCTTCTCTCATGCCCCTTCACCATGGTGCTGGTCCTTCCCTCACACCCCTCACCATGCTGCTGGTCCTTCCCTCACAGCCCTCACCATGGCGCTTGTCCTTCCCTCACGCACCTTCCCTCACACCCCTCAGCATGGCACTTGTCTTTCCCTCACACCCCTTCCCTCACACCCCTCAGCATGGCTGGTCCTTCCCTCATGGAGGAGTATATCCCTTGCCCGGGGAGGCTGCACAGCCCTGTTGGGGAAGCCACGGTGCCTGTCCATCAGCAGGTGTGTCAAAGGGGCTGTCAGTCAGCTGGGGTGGCGGTCACCACACCCTGGGCCCAGCAGGACATGGCAGCAGCTTGCTGTGGATCCACATCCACAGAGCTTGCTGTGGATCTGCTGGCGAGTCACTCAGGGTCCAGCCGGGAGCAGCAGGGAGGAGGCCATGTCGGTGAGACAGCCAGGCGGGTCGGAGTGGTGCAGCCCTGTCTTTGGCTCACCGCTGCTTTCCCACCAACTGCTGTACAAGGATCCAGTGGCATTTAGGAAAGGATTGCCTGCTAGCCTTGACTAGGTGAGAGAAACTAAGGGTTAAGAAGTTCAAAGGCTGGGCAAGAGGGCAGTGCCAAATACACCCGAACTTGATGCCATTGCCATGAGCCCTGGCTTGTTTTACTCCGTCCCCCGCCTCAGGTGATGTGCTGTTTTCAACTGTGGTTTTGTGTATAACATGCTATTTTTAAATCTTTTCTCCACAGTTTATTTATGATGAAAGAGTTTCCTGGTAAGTGAATCCCTTTTCTTTTCATTTTTTCTGGTTATACCACAAAAGCTGCCATAATTAGTGTTTATGAGAAGGAGAAAGCTAAAAAGTTCTGCTGGGCAGCTATTTGCTGCTGTGTGAGAAACATCAGCACAAGATGGGCTAGAGTAAGTAATTTTTTGAGCTAGAGAAGAAAGCCCAGGAGAATCAGACTGTTCCTGATACAGTGGCAGCAGTCAGTGCCCTGCAGCAGTCTGGGGATGACAGTGTGCTCAGCAGAGCTGTGGGTGTGCAAGAAGGAGCCACCTAAGCAGTCATAAATAAGTGTATAGTTGGATTTTTCATAATTTAGTGAATGCCCAGTTAAAAGAAATTTAAAAAAAAATCCCTGTTAATGTGTTAAAGAGCAGTGCAGCAGATATAGTAGTCTAGGAGGGCTGGGCTGCTGATACTTATCAGTTGCTTTGGTCTCATGGTTTTGTTTCTGGCACATCCCAGAGGTGATGTGGTGACATCTGGAGGTGACAGTGGAGGTGACAGCGTTGGCTTTGGTGTCACTCCCAGCTGGTGTCATTTGGATTACAAGCACTAGGGAGCGTCAGGCTGCTTGGGCTGGTGTTTTCCCTCACTGGCTCTTTCCCATTTCAGAGGCAGGTTTCAAACACCCATTCTTGGCTGTGGCCTGGTTTCTTGTGTTGATTTTTTGTGTGGTTTTTTTTTTTTAACTAAAATTCACTTGAAGGCCAGTTGTATTTAACTGTGGTCTGAATAAAAACCAAAACACAACACAGAAGCTGAGTGTTGAATCTTAAGAAGCAGGGAATGAGGCATTGATATAGTTAGTGTAATATCTCAAGATCCTTGTGGAGCAAATGTTCCATGAGTTTAGCATACAGTAGTTTGATAATGGATGATTTCCACGAGGACTAGCAGTGTGCCATGGGGAATTAATCAGAATACAGCATTTCGGATAGTAAAAAAGATCACCTAGGAACAAGCTCTGAAAGTCATATTGTAATTTGTTTTCATACAAATTTAATTATTCCATTAGTTTGATGCAGAAACAAGAGAGGGGAAAAACCTGTCAGTATCTAATCAGCAGTTTGAACTGCTGCCTGCTGCATTCTCAGCACTCATGCAGCAGCAGTAGTGGCAGAGCAGCTGCCCCTTGCTGAGGTTGTCTCAGCACAATTGGCTTTTCAAAACCCAGCATCCTGTTCTACACTCCTGCAGGCAGCGCAGGATGGCTGCTCCTCTCCCTTGGCTGCATCCTATGGTTGTTGTCCCTATGGAAGTGTTGGTGGTCCTTAGATGTGAGATTTGCTCACTGAACCCCTGGGTTTTGTCACTTGTTCTTAGCTGACTGGTCAGTTTGGCCAAGTAAAATCACAGAAGTCAAGAAAACAAAGAAGGATGGGTGAGCCATTTCTTTGTGCATCCCTTTCTAATAGAGAAATGTTAAGGCAGCCCAGGAGGGTCAAGGCTTTCTGCACTCTTGTGGCGTGTCAGAAACACGGGGGAGTGACTGAACTGATGCAGTGCCCTGCTCTGATGTGTTTATGTGTTGCTCTTGTTTCCAGGTGGGAGTCCTTAGTCTTAGTGCTGATGTATGTCATCTACATCTTCATAATGAAGTAAGTCAAATGTGCCCTCAGCTTATCTAAATTCTAAGGCTCCCTGCTCCCCTTGCCTCACCTAGCCCTTACTACAAGAAGAAGAAACAGCTTCCAGTTCTGCCAGAGGAGGTTTAGCTTGGCTGTTAGGGAAAATTTCTTCACCAAAAGGGTTGTCAGGTGCAGGAACAGGCTGCCCAGGCCAGTGGTGGAATCACTATCCCTGAAGGGGTTTAAAAGATGTGCAAATATGGTGCTTAGGGACATGACTTAGCAGTGGGCTTGGCAGTGCTGAATTAACATTGGACCTGATGATTGTGGAGGCTTTTTCCAACCTAAACTATCCTGTGAATCTGTGCTTTGCGGATCTCGTCCAGTGAACTGACCAAGACTAACAGCAAACGTGGCAGAGCAGAGACCTGGATCCATCCTCCGGTCCCACCAAAACAGTCTCTTCTGACTTCATCTAGCATCTCTACTCAGAAAGAAGCAGGAGTGAGATTCCATCCACTTTTCATGGGTGTGAAGCTCTGTGGCAGTTCTTGCCTGGAGATCCGTGATAAAACTACAGTACAGTTGGCAGGGATTTTCTGAGCATCTGGCCTGTGTGACTTCTTCCACACAAGCTCTTGCTAGTAAAACTGGTCTGTTCTGCTGTTCTGTTCACCTCCTCCTGTCTTGTTTTCAAAAGCCAGTGCAAAGGAAACCCAGATTCAAACTGGAACATTCAACAAAACCTTCCAGCTGCCAAACACACCAGTGGTCTTGTCTCCACAAGTAAGACTAGAGATTTGTTTTGAAATGATGAGCAGAGTAATATTGTGAGAGCAATTCTCAGTGAGAACAGCAAAACACTCAGACTGGCTAAAGGGAACACAAGTCAGAATTCATCTATTAATTAGAAATTTTGACATGGAGGGTAGCTTTTTACTCTTGGAACAATTAACTGACCAGCAAGACAGTTGTAATGTGTGCAGTTTTGTTTTGGTTTTGTGTTTTTTTTCCTAAAAAAAAACGTTGTAATGTGAATAGGCTTTTCAGACCTGTTTGGATATAGCTTGAAAAGTTGTCAGCCTAGTTAGGGACCTCTGCCAGGTGTTTATAGGGTTTACCCTTGCCTCTGAATGTCATGGGGAGAGCCTTGGCTTATATTTGTGTCAGTTCCCAGATGCTCCGAGAAGCAAGGATTATTCCCCACCCCTGCCAAAGTTGGGATGAATTTAGCATAAGGTGTTGTGTTTCTGGGTTGAGTCCTCCCAGTAAAATAATGCTGATACTCAGGTGTGATTGTGTGATAAAAAAATATACTTGGATAATGATAGGCAAAGGTTATTCATGATACAGAATATTCATCACACCTAACACATAAACATGCATGTCATTCAAGATCCATGGCTTCTATCTTTCATAGCCTTCTGGGTATAGAGAAACTGTGTGATGTACAATTTAGCCGGAACTCTGGGATCCTCCTTAAAACCAGAGGAGCTTACTTCCCTCCCTTAGCTGTATTGCACAGAATACAAGGCTAGGAAAAGAAGACTGTCAAGAATTAAAGGTACATCCTTAGTTTGTTTTGTTTGTGCAGGTACAACTCAACCATACATCACTTCTTTGAGAGGAAGACAAAAAACTCTGCAAATATGGTGAATGGTTTAGCAAGTAACACAGAGATGGATGACAACAGCAACTGTGATGCCACAGTGGTGTTACTAAAGAAAGGTAACTGTTCCAGTAAGTCACCCTGTTGCTTGCATCATTCTGGGTGTTCTCTCCCTGCTCACACAGTGGGAGCTGCTTCTCTCTTGTAAGCCACGAAGCAGTAGAGGGCAGGTCGTCCTTCTGGAGCCCCTCTCCCAGATGGGGATCATGGTGTGGTGATCCCAGCCACCACAGCCTATGCCACTGGAGGTGGCTGAGGCCTCTTGTGGCTGGTTCTTGCTGCTGGACAAGTTGCTTGGCTGCAAGGTCTCCTTCAAGCCCAGGGGCTGCTTATCTGGCCTGTTACAGCCATTTTAATTCCTCCTGTGGGCGCTGTTACTCTGCACTGAAGTTGCTCATTTACAGCATGTCCAGTTAAATTTAAGTCCACTCCAAAGGGACATGACCTGAGCAGGAAAAAAAGGCCCTACTTAGACCAATGTACACTTACCCCAGTGAAGGAAGGGTGGGGACTCTGTGTGGGTCTGGGTCCTGTGCTCTTACTGCACCTGCTGGCTTTACCATGCCCAACTTTTCCATGTAAGTGGTCTTTAAGGGTATTTCACTTTGGCTGAAATCTGTTCCAGTTTGACTTTAGTCATGATCATGTATAAAAATGGCTGTATTTCTTCAGCTTAAAAAAATTCCCCCATCCCATAGCTCAGCAGCAGTTGTTCAATGTCTGCATTTGCAGGGATGTTCTAAACTCTATTCACAGTGGATTTATTTTGGCTTTAAAACAGTCAACAAGCATATGCTTGGGGTGTATATGTACCTGTTCTCAGGAATAATGCCTCCCATTTTCCTGAGGCACTGACTTAGCCTTAGAAGAAGCTTCGTCCTGACAAAATCAGTCCTGGTCTCTGACCACAGATGGGCTGCCTCTTTTGTTTATCTAGTCTATCAAAAAACCCCAACCAACCACAAATAGGTCTCTTTTCCTGCAAATGGGGCTTGAGAGGCATAGTCTGTATACAGTGAGCAGTTAAGCGTGAAATGTAGTGGGGTTTATTTGCATCTGCAAATGAGTCTGACAGCTCTCAGTTACAGGCCTGCTGCAGAGGGAAGGTTGTCAGCAGTGCTGTGCAGTCTCATTTGGGGAAGCTGTTTTTTTGGGGACAGCTCTCTGTTGCCTGGAGCTCTCCACAGCAGAATTATGCTGGCAGTTCTGTACCAGGAGAGCTGGATTGGGAAAACTCAGTGAGCACAAGCTCAGGCCTTGCACATCCAACTTTTCCCAGTGGGTTTTGGTTTAAACGTTCCTACAGTGGGTTTTTTGCTTACTCTGCTGATAACTTTTTGATTTGGACACTTGTGGTTACTCAGTCTGGCCAAGGAAGGAAGATGAAAGTGTTGCTTCATCTTCTTGCAGATTGTTCCTGTATTTCCTGGGGACTGGGCCATGGGAGGCCTGGAGAGGCAAGTGGTGCTGCTTTGTGTCCCAGCTGGGGATACAGGGCCACCAACAGCACCTGTTGCAATGAAGTGCCTGGGGGTTTCAGACACTGTTTGTCTTCTGAGGCCTTTTCTGAAACCTTTTCTGAACAGAGGACCAAAAAGTCAGAAAGGTTTCTGTGTTTGTCAGTTTTTCCAGGTGCCATTCAACAAGTGCCAGTGTGGAAAAACTCACGAGGAAAAGCTGTGTGGTTGGTTTTTGTAGTTGGTTTGCATTTTTATTTTTTTTTAATATGGAGGAGCTCACATATCTACCCTATTCCATGGAAGCCTCAGTAGGCAAAAAAAGTAACATAAAGGCCGAGGAGATAGTCTAAGACTAACAGTGATGGTTAAAAATGGTAATGCTACAAAACATTTGTCACTGTTTAACACTGGTTTTAATAAACCTTTACAGAAGTGTGTTGGATGAAGCCTCAGGTTTCCCTGCTGCCAAGTCCCAGTTGTGGAACAGAATTCACAGCCCAAGGTGTCATCCAGGTGAAAGAAGGATGAACCCCAGAGGCAGTGGGCATTGGCACTGTGCTCCAGGCAGAGCACGATCCAGGGACTGGCCTCTGTCTCCCTCTCCCTTTGCTCCCACACTGTGGATCACTGGCACATGCAGTTGCTGCTGGATTTGGTGGCAGTTCCCAGCCATGAGCTGCAAGCCCAGGGTGCAGGAACGTTCTTTTCATTTGTGTTGGTACCTTGCAGGAACACAGCAGTGAATGAGGAGAATATCCTCACAGAGGTTGCAGCTGGAAGTAACTGCCTTGGTGGGATAGCTGCTGTTGAAGCAGTGGTGTGCCTAACACAGGCCTGTGATGAACTGTGCAGAGCAGATTTAGTTCTCTGAAAGGAGCATGAGTGGTCATACTATGTTAACAATTTATTTAAAACCAGGCATATAAGGTGTGTAGAAGGCAGAAATTAAGGACAGGTGAGGCCTATTTTGAATGGTGTAGCTGAAGGAATGGTTCTTACAGAGAACTTCTGGAGCCCACGGGTTCATTCTTCTTAGAGCCACGTAGAGCAGAGGGAGAGACTGCTGGAAAAAGGCCTCAATTTGTTTTTGTTCCTTGGCTGCAGGAAATTTCCACCGTAAAGCCTCAGTGATCATGGTTGATGAGCTGCTCTCTGCCTACCCACACCAGCTTTCATTTTCCGAGGCTGGGCTCCGGATCATGATAACCAGCCATTTCCCTCCCAAAACACGTCTCTCCATGGCCAGCCGCATGTTAATCAATGAGGTGTGTCTTTTATCTCCCCCACCTGCCCCTCTCCTCCCGAATTTGCATTTTCCTGTAGCAGTGTTTAGCATGAAATGCAACTCTGGTGTTTCTTCTGGATCCCTGATAGCGCTCTCCCAGATTTTATCCTTCTGGCACTGACTTCACTGGACATCCCTTTCTCTCTGTGCCCATGGAGATTTTAGCAGAGGTTGTTATGCAGTTGTGTTCCATGTAGCTGTTGCTCACAGGAGGTGCCTTCTGCATAGATCTGTTTCATAATATGGTATTACCCCGAGACTGCACTTAGTGTGTCACTGGTCTTGGAGTACTCCTGGAGTCAATTCCACAGCCACTGGACACTCTCTTGTAAAAGTTGTACATGTGAGATTTTTCTAGTGGTCTGCAAGCAAGCATCATGTTGTACCTGTTGAAAATCATTTTTTTTTGCTTTTAAAGATACATTTTTAAATAATTCTACACACCTCTCTTTCTCTGTTCCTCCCTTTTGCTTAAAAAAACCCCTCAGATTTAAAAAAGTCTTACTTTTCAGCAAGGCTGCCTTTATTTACAGAGACAGAGGCTGATCAACAGCAGGACTTACACCAACGGCGAGTCAGAAGTAGCAATCAAAATACCCATCAAGCACGTGGTGGAGAACGGAACAGGCCCCAGCAACTCTGCTGAGCGTGGCGTGAACGGCACGCGGCGCGACGACGACGTGGCCGAGGCCAGGAACGAGAACGAGAACGAGGACAACGAGAACAACGAGAACGACGAGGAAGAAGATGACGATGACGACGACGACGATGACCATGAAGGGCCCTACACGCCTTTTGACCTCCCCAGTAAGAAGCTCCTGCGTTTGTGTGGTGTTTGTTTGGGTGTGCTGGAAAGCATTGCAGACGGATGTAGAGGTAGAAGTGTCTCTGAGAGCTTCCGTCAGCTTTCACTTGGCGGTGAGGCTTGTAGCCACATGTAAAAGAAATAGGGAACTGGGAAGCAGCAGGAATCTCTCAGGATGCAGACTCCTGGGGTTGGGCACACCTCTGCTGCAGCTCCTGTGTTGGCCCTGTGCTGCTGTTGCAGTAACAGGGGAGATGCAGCAATCTCCACAGGGTGGGTTCTGCCCCCAAAACATGGCTCACCCCCTGGAGAGAAGGATCTTTGCTCTCTGTGGAGGAAGCTGAGGGTAGCTGGGCTGCTGGCAAGGAGCCTGAGTGAAGGTCAGAGTGAGGACCCACGTGTGCCTCAGGCTGCTGAGCACTGCCCCTGCAGGATGGAGATCTCCTTTTAGCCTAGTGCTTCTTACCACATGAGGGCTCTGGTCCTGGGATGATCATAATATATCCCTGTCCTGCCTTTGAGTCACAGTTGCCATAGCTGGCAAGATTTGCTGTGTTGCAGATGAGCTGGAATACTGTAGGGAGTGGTCCTGCCCTTTGCAGTCCAGATACAATTTTGGGAACTCCTGTTCAGGTCTCACTCAAATAGCATTTCTGTAGTTTGAGTGAGGAAAAGGCCTCAGCCTTAAAGAGAGTAGTTTAGAAGTCCTATGGACTTTCATAGTTTGTGAAAGGCTGGCACGGGCCTCTGGAGATCTTTGGTTCCACCCTCTACTCAGAGCAGGTCCTCCTCCAAGCCTGTGTCCAGTTGAGTTTTATTATCTATAAGGATGGACATCCCACAGACTTTTGAGTAGCTGTTCCAATGTTTGACCACCACCCCCCCGTCCACTCTAGTAGGAAAAAAAAGAGAAAATGCACAATTTAATGTACTATCTGTTCTGAATTTCTCCTATTGGAAGTTGAGTCCATTGGCTTTTGTAATTCCCTTGTGCAAGGAATTTTGTAATTCCCTTGTGAAGGGCCTGCCTCCATATTTTCTGTACCTTCCCATTAGGTGATTGAAGGTGAATCAGATCTCTTTCTTGGACTTGCATTTTACGTGGTTTTGTAAGAACTTTACTAAGGAGGAGGGGGAGCACATGTGGTCTAACCCGTTACTTAAACTCTCAGGGAGGCCCTTCATACTCCTGTGCCTGTCTCTGCCCTCCTATCTGCCATCACATCATTATCTTTTGAACAAGGAATATGTTGGCATAACAGGCTGAGGTGTCCCTGGCATCTTGTTTGCACATGCAGACAAAATAATAGCATTCTGAAATACAGCAGACATGACTTGTGATTGTTTCCCTTTGTTTTGTTGTTTGGCAGCTGGCAAGATAGAAATGTTGAAGTGGGTCTTCACATGGCCCTTGAGTTTTGTCCTGTACTTCACAGTGCCCAACTGTAACAAACCCCACTTGGAAAAATGGTTCATGGTCACCTTTGCTTCTTCTACCCTGTGGATTGCAGCTTTTTCTTACATGATGGTGTGGATGGTACGTACCAGCTAACCCAGAAACCACTGCCTGGGAGAAGCAGCAGGAGGGGGTTTGACAGTCTAGAGAAATGCATAGGAAGTTCTACACACCTGAATTTTCAGGTGAGAAACCTTAGGTTTGCTTCTATTTCTTTTGGACCTGTCTAAACTCAGAGAAGAAAATTAGGGGCCAGTAGCCATGGCCTTTGAGCTTGATTTAGGTTTGGCATTTCATCCAGATTCTTTACCTTGGGCAACAATTACACCTGCAGCAGTGGAACATCTCCTAGTCCTGCAGGGTAGTGTGAGGGGTGCTGAGTGACAATCTGGTCACAACAACTTTTCATTCTCTTTCAGCAAGCAAGCTCAACAGACACGGAGTTGTGAATGACAACACTTTGAACTTAGCATGAGCAATAGCATTCAGTCAAATTCCTGCGGAACTAGAACCATGGGGTGGTTTTGTGTCTGCTTAGCTAGTATTTGTATATAACAATGTTTACAAAATTCATCCAAGATCGCCAGACAGTTACCCAGGGTAATGAGCACCATATAGTCTCTTTTCCAGATTAGTATAGGAAAACCATGGATGAAATGTATGAAGCTAACCTGAGAGGGTACTACAGCAGGTGAGTGCTATTGCCAGTTGATGAATATACCAAAAAAAGCTTGTCACTGCCTCTATTAAAGGAAATATGAGTTTGAACTGAGAGATACCCTCTGTCTCACAACATTTTGCAGATTTGGGGCAAATTTGCCTTGGGTCTTAATTCTTGTACACAGCTTGACAGTTTATTTCATACTCTCCTTAGGTGACAATCATTGGGTACACACTGGGAATTCCAGACGTGATCATGGGCATCACTTTCTTGGCAGCAGGAACCAGTGTGCCAGACTGCATGGCCAGCCTTATCGTGGCCAGGCAAGGTGGGTCACTGCAGGGATGGCATCCTGCTGTGGAACTGTGTCCTGACATTCTCCTCCTCTTCAGGTAGCACAGATGTTTCCTCAGCAGGAGAATATACAGAGCTCTTTCCACAAGCCTGGAATTTAAAACAAGAACAAAGAAGGAAATAAATTGTGTTGCTATTGCAAAGCAGTTAACAGGTTCTCAACAGAAATGTGGAGCAAGTTCTGGCCGTATTGTCAACTTCAAGCCTTCCTCAATAATCACAGTAATTTTCTTAATTTGAATATCAGTGGTATAGAACTATTCAATGGCATAAGAATTTTTCAGGTCACTTTTCAGCTTTTCTTCACAGTCATAAGGACTGGAAGATACTGCTGTTTTTAAGGAAAGCAGCTCCCCCGTATTTGTGGCCCAAGCAAGAGATGTGTAAAGAGGAAAAGCAAGTAGCCAGTACTGCTTTGGGGAGCAAAACCAGTGGCTTGTCACTGAAATAAGCAGCTGCTGAAGAGATGACTCAAAGACCTTTTGCAATTAATCCAGTACAGAAGCTCATGTGTCATGGTCACAGTGAAGGGTCAAAAGTCCCCCTGAGCATGGCACCAGAGAGCTGGCAGGTCACAGCCAGCACAGTGGGTCCCCTCAGCAGCAGAGGATTAGAGGAGGGAAATTCTCAGATGATACTGGAAGGTGGATTAAGCCCCTTTAAACCTGCTGGCCTTGTATGATGGGGGCAAAGGGAAGGGAGGGAGTGACGGGTGTCTTCCACAAATCTTTGCCTTAATTGGGGGAAATTGCCTGGATGACCTCAGATTAAAGCTGCAGGACTTTCCTGAGACATGTCTGAGTGTTTGTGGTTTCCATTCCTGCAGGTATGGGGGATATGGCTGTGTCCAACTCCATCGGAAGCAATGTTTTTGATATTTTAATTGGCCTAGGCCTTCCCTGGGCTTTGCAGACCCTAGCAGTGAATTATGGATCATACGTAAGTCCTACATTTGTTCACATCATTGTTACTTATTTATTATTTGTTTATTTACTTTTAATAAACCCAGATCTATCTAGGAAAAGGAATTCCAAAATTCTATGGATTTTATTTGAAAAAACAAGTAATTTTCTCTGTTACGATATGGGAGAAGTAGAAATTAATTGTCACTGGACATTTCCCATCCTTTTGAGGACAAGTACTTTCATTTCTTCCTTAAAGACAGAAGTCTGTGCTGAAGTAAGCTAGCTTACTAGAGTGCACTGGATTTTCATACTCTTGAATATATTCCAAGTAAGAATGACCCTGTTTTTAATAAGGCAGAGGGGATAAACACATAGGTGTAATATAAAATGTAGATGAGATCTGTAGGGCTTTTGCTAAGAAAAATTCTGGCATTACTAAACTGTTAACACAGTGCAAAGTGAAGGAAATTGTTAAATAATTGGATGTTTCAGAGCGTGGAAATCAGCAGGAAACTCTGCAGAGCCTTACTGTTTAAGACAAAACTACCAAACACCAATGAACTTATGCTTTACTTCCCAAGTGATAAAAGAGCCAACCTCTGCCCCAGAGTTGTTGCAAGGTTCCTTCTGAGAAGTAAAAGCAGGAGATGCCAGAGAGTTCTAGAAGGAAGTCACTGTGGCTATTGCTGTTACCTGGACACCACTCAGACAGCATGTAGGGCAGAGAGAAGACTGTTGATTACAGTCTCTGAGTGAATGCAAAGGTAAAAGGTAGGAGAATGACAGAACTGCTGAGCTTGACAAGTACTTCTGTGGATTGTCTAGTCCCCAGCCCTCTGCTCAAAGCTGGGTCAGCTAGAGCAGAATGCTTAGGACCTTGTCCTGTTGGGTGTTGAAGGATGGAGTCTGCACAGCCACTCTCAGCAGTCTGCTTTGTTTTTTAACCACTCTCAACAGTCAAGAGCATTCTTATATTATAGTGGGATTTCTGTATTTAAAGTTGTGTGGTTCTTCTTGTCCTTTCAATGAATATCACTCAGAAGAGTCTGGCTGCACCTTCTCTGTGTTCTCCCATCAGGTATTTATGCACATGGCTAAGATCCCCCTGAATCTTCTTCTCTTCTCTAGGCTGAGCAGTCACAGCTCTTTCAGCCTCTCTGTATGTCAGATGTTGCCATTCCTTAAATCTTCCTTGTGGTGCTTCAGTGGACTTGCTCCAAGAAGTCCATATCTCCCTTGTATTGAGGAGCCCAGAACTGGACCAAGCACTCCAGATGTGAGCAGAGGAGGATCATCTTCCTCTCCCTACTGGCAGCACTTCTCCTGATGTAGCCCAGGACCCTGTTGATGTTCCATGGCACAGGGGTGCATTGCTGACTTCAGCTTGGTGTCCACCAGGATCAACAGGACTTTCTTGGCCAAGCTGCTTTCCAGCTGGTCAGCCCCATGCTGATATGTGGAGTTACTCCTTCCCAAGTGCAGGGCTTTTCATTTCCCTTTGTGGATATTAAGGAGTTTGCTGCCTGCACATTTTTCCAGCCTGTCCAGCTCCCTCTGTATGGCAGCACAGTCCTCCAGAGCATGAGCCATCTTCCTTGGTTTTGTATGGGCTGTGAACTTGCTGAGCCTGCTCTCTCCCCATCATCCAGTTCATTAAAAAGCAGTCCTGACCCTGGGGTAAGGCCCTAGTGACTGGCCCCCAGCTGGGCTTGGAGCACAGTGCTTTGGCTGCTTATCAGGCCATTCCAGTGTCCACTTTTCTAGGCTGTTCTTCCTCTGTTTGTCTCTGAGGATGTTTGAGAGAATGCCAGAAGCCTTGCTAAAGTCAACATAAACAATATTGTTGTGCTCCCCTCACCCAGCAAGTCCCCCTCATCCTACAAGGCTGTCAGGCAGGGTCAGCGGGATTTCCCCTCCATAAATTAACATCTGTCCTTTGTGTATTTAGAAGTGGTTCCCATGATCATGTGCTCTGTCATCTTCCCAGGGATCAAGGACAGGCTGACCAACCTTTGGTTCCTCAGATCTTCCCTCTTCTTGAATACAGGAGTGCCACAAGTGCTGTAGGAATAAAATCCCTTTCTTTAATGAGCAGTTTATCTGTAGCTCATATATATATATATTTGTGAAAAAGGATGGAAACAAGTGGCTGAACTGAAGCAGCCAATTTTAATGGAGGCATAACAGTATCTCTACTGTTTTGCATACCCAAAATGTCCATTATACAGTGTGATCAGGTGGTTAGAAAAGGCATTCTTGGAAACTGCCCCACAATTAGCAAAAGCGAGTTTCCTCAGTTGTCACTTGCTGTTCCTGGATTTCTCTCCAAATTCTTGGGTAATTGGACTTTCAAACAAAGCAAGCCCCCTTTCCCCACCCTGTTATTAATAATTAATTTTTGAAGTATTACTACGTTGCTAGCAAAGGCTGGCATTAGCTGGGTCAGGTGCACCTTGGTGACAGTTCCTAGAGCTCCAGGATGCTGGTTGTTATTCCAGGAGTGTGGCCGTTGTCCCTGGCACCCAGGTCAGAGGGGGCAGCAGATGTGGAGCTCAATTTCCTGAGGCCTGTGAGGCTGAGCCTTGGGCTGCTTGCATGAGCAGGCCCTGCTGGCTGCACTGGGGCTGTGGGCTCAGCCAGCCTGGTTGTCCACTGAACATCACCGTGAGTCAAAAGCACTAGGTGATTTCTGAGCTAACAGTACAGGGTTTAGTACTGCTCCTTTGGTGTTGGCAGGACCCAAATGTGTCTCTGTAGTATCTCCTCCAACAGGGGATCTCCTCAAAGCAGTCTTTGTAAGTGGCTTCACGTGGAATCTGGACTTGTTGTTTAAACAAGCTTGCTCCATGGGATAGTGTCTGAGTGGGGAAGAGGCAGCTTTGTGATCTAACAGAATGAGTCAGGAAAAGAGCAAGAGGGGGACCTGTCAGAGAGATGGATGGGCTTGCTGGAGTCACAGTAGGTGAATGTCAGAACTGGAAATAAGCTGTGAATCCCTGGAGACACATCCTGGTGCTGGGTTGCTAAATCACATTTTGATTGAGTGCCTCTCTTCTGACTGTTGCTTCCCCAGCCCCATTGTCAGTTTATGCTTCAGCTTAGTGTTTATTTTATTTTGGCTTTCTTATTACAGAAGGGAAAGGAAAATCATCTTATGATTCTCAGGCTGCATCTTGGAAGCATCTGTCACCTGGTGTAGAGAAGGAGGTTTTCCTTCTGTCCTAAAGATGTTCCTGCTTTAAATGAAACATCTTCCCCTAGGATGTGGGTACACTGCAAGTGCCTCACCCTTTGCCTTCAGCTCAAGTGTCAGTTCCAGAATTCATGGCTTGGACCTTTTTCCATGAAAAGGCAGATCTATTCAGCATTAAACTTCCCACTTCACATCCCTTCTGTTTTTACAATGTCAAGTCTTTAACCCAACCATATGTTTCTTATTTCAAAGGTCCATGTTTCTGAACACTCATTAAGGTACTAACTCTGCCTTCCTCTGCTTCCTACTGGAGCTTCCATCTCCACTGCTCACTTGGCCACCCTCTTGCAGCAGCTCTCCCCCTCTGTTCTGTACACAGCTAATCTGGCAGGCCAGCAGGGCTTTTGGAGGAAAAGCAGCATCTCTCTGGACCTTGAGAGTCCTTTGACAGATTCACTCTATCCTCTCTTCCAGCATTGAGTCTTGGACACGTTGCTGACTCTGTAATCCAGTAAACATCCTTCCCCAATGCACCTGGCACATGCAGAGTGGAAGGATGTTTGCTCCTTACATTCTATCCAGTTGCTTTCCTCTGGAATATTTTTTTGCATGTAAACCAGACATCATCCAGCAGTATTTTAGAGAACAGGAATTTTAGCCTAAGGATAAAGAGCCAGGTTGATTTGATCACGTCAGCATTTGGGAGTATAATCATGTCAGTCCAATTTGCTCCTTTGCCTGATAACTTCAGGCAGTATCAGCAAAATTTGACAGTACATTAGAAGTCTGAGAGACCTGATATTCCTTCCACAAACAAGCAGCTTGAGACAGCAGAAATAATCCCAGTGTAATCATATTTAGGCATCAGAGGATCCAGAGGGAAGCAAATGCTTGCAAAGCACACATGGAGATGGGAAGCCTCTCTGCTTTGCTCCTTTCTGACCAGTTGATTTTCACTGGTTAAATTCCAAGGCCCTGTTTGTTAGGACAAAGCTGGCTCCCTGGCTTTGTGGCAGAGAGATTATTGTGAGGATTCTACTGCAGTAGAGCAAATCTCCCTGCCAATCCTCCTAGCATTACAAGAGTTCTCTCCAGCTATAGCTCCTGTATCTCCTGCATGATACTCTTGAGTGGCCAAGCACTCCAGGTGTGTACCCAACCCTCTGCAAAATGAATTTTGTGATACAGAGCAAAACAGGGACGCTTTCTTGGAAGTCTAAAAACAGGTTTAAGAAGGAAATTCCATTTAAACGTGCAGCAATGCATCAATGTTTGAAGTTCCAGTTTGTTTAGACCGCTGTCTCATGGCAAGACCTCAGGAATGCAGGATTTAGACTGAATTTCCACTGCCAGGCAGAGACACTGAAGGAGAAGGATACCCAGACATACAGAAGACCTGCAGCTTTTTCAGCTGAGGGACTGGAAACAAAGCATAGCCCTTCTGAAATTCCTTACTGGGGTAATTTCTGTCATATTAAGGCCCTGAGGCAAAACCAGTGTGGGTTTTGGCAATAGCTCCTTGTTTTCCCTTAAGCAGCTGCCAGAAAAGAACTTAAGAATAGAATAACTTTTATTTCCATTGTTTTTCCTCTGCTGTTTGGCTTCAGCCTTGGTTACCACAGCAGCATGGGAATGGCTGGAGCTGGTGGCAGCCTCTTTGCATTTGCTGCACAAGCAGCAGGGAGGTGGCCCCCCTCAAACTCTGACAGAGGAGGCTGTGAATGTGCAAACCTTCTGTGCATGATCAGCCAGAACAGCCTTCTTCTGCCTTGCTTCAGCCTCTACACACAAGCCAGTCCTCAAAGGGGAGTTTGGGAATGTTGGTTTTTCCTCCTTGCAGTACGAGGGAGTGCTTCTCCTGCAGCCCTTTTCTCTTGGGGAAGAGGCATTTGCTATTCTTAAATGAACAGGGGACTGGACTATTCCTTATACAATTAAAAGGACTCCAGCTGGGGCTCTTTTGCCAAAACCTGAAATTATCTCCTCCCTTACTGTGAGTTTTGAATGTTTTGCTGCCCTTGTTTTCCCTGAACTCGCACATTTTCATATATCCCAAGGAAATGTATTCTGTTGCTTCTTGCAGGAAATGCCACTCAATCTCATGAGAAGGCTTGACTATTTCTGGCCCAATTTGACAGATCAAGGACACATTTTTCTTAAGCTTTTGTTTCAAATTTCAGAAACTTCTGGGCTTCTGTGCTCTTAGTTAAAAGTCATGATAAGAAATAGGGTAGGCTGGTGATTACCATAGGAGTGGAATCAGTTAAATCTCTATTTCCAGAGCTGTAGACTCATGGGAAATTTGTGAAATAGCAGCGGGTAGTCCAAAGTCAAATTCAGGAAAAGAAACGGTTTGTCAGGAAGCTCATTTGGCTGAACTAGATACACATTACAGCTGGAATTTCTGGAAGAAAAAGTCCAACTGTTTGAGTAAAAGAATATTCCTGGTGAGCTCAAAGTACTGGAAAAGGTGTGAAGAATTCCAGATGCTTCTACTGATGCTCAGGAGGTGACGTATGCACGGCACCTCCCTGCCATGGTAGAAAAGGGACAGAAAAGGACAGAAACCGCATGTGAAAAGGGCTATAAAACAACTGAGAAGCAAATAGAAAATAACAGAAGGACAGTTGGAACAAGAGGATGTTGATGTAAGCCTGTTCCCAAAGCCCATTTGGCCTGGCATGACTGGGAGATGGATTCCATAGGTGGGTGCCTGGTGTAATTCCAAATGAGCTGGACTTGCAGTGCTGTGGGGTTACCCTGTGCACACCAACATTCCCGTGGATTTGGCTTGCAGGGAGCACTGCAGGGCTTGGCCAGGGGCCCATGGAGGCATGGCTCACCTGGCACAGGTGGCCAGGCTCACCTCAGCAGCCTCTGGCACATGGAAAGTGGGAGCATCCTTCAGGTAAACAGGGAAGTACAGGGAGAGCAGCAAGGCATGCGTGTGAGCCGTGGGGATTCCTCCTCCTTTGGGTTTCACTCTCTCAAAACCCTTCAGCAGCACTGTACAAAAACCACCCATGTTCTGTAGGCTCACTTCCTGAAGTAGATACATGCCTGTTAAAAAATGTGGCAGGGCTGCCAGGAAAGTTCTTGTTATTTAGGTTAATTAACAGCTCTCTGCTTTGTCCAGCAGTGGGAGCTGGGCTGGATACCAGGCCAAGAATGTGGCTGGTTAAACCCAAGTTGAGAACTGTTAACCTGGAGTGAAATTTTCCCTGTGAGGGTAACTTGGTGCTCACGCTGCAGGAATTGTCACATTTGCTTGGCCCACAGAGGAACAGCATGGTGTGTGTGTGTGTGGCTCTTACATTGGGAAAGCTGCTGTAAATAATTAGCATACATTTTCTGCTTTTGAATTAAATTTTGAAATTTTGAATTCCCTAAAACATCTTTTATTCCCCTAAATGACCTCCAAGGAAGAGCCTTGCAGATACTCTGAAGAAAGCAGCACCAAACATCTCTTTTTCGGAGCACTGCCCTCAGCAAATTAGACACAGAGGCCTTTGGAATGCTCTGCTGGTTTTATGGAGCATGAAGTTGTAACTGGGAAACAGTGTTAAGGTTAAATTTTTGCACTTTAGGTTAAATTCAGACATTTTCCATGGTAAAATAATTCCATCTTCTTCATTTGCTTCCTTTTCTTGTAGATCTCTTTCCAACTGATACATTTTATACTGACAATTTTTAAAAATATTTGCACTAGTCAAACAAAATTCCTGACCAAAATCCAGACAGGAATTTATTGTAAAATATTCTCTCTTTGCTAGCCAGCTGCTGTTCATTTGGGATATAGCAGGGAAGGCGGCTTTAAATGTGCACTTTACTTTTAGTACACAGAGTTAGTGTAGGGCTTTTTTGAACTTTATAATAATGGAAATCAGGTTAACTGTTACTTGTGGGTGGAAGCAAGAGAGGAGGAGTGGATGCACAGGAATGACTGAAGCCAAGTGGGCTGGTCCATCTCTCAAGTTTACATTAGCAGTGGGATCATGACATTTTTCATCTTCAGTTATGCAGACAGTCCCAAAATCAGTCTTTATGCCCTGAAGCAAGCCAAATCCTCCATTTCTTTGAGCAGTCTGATGAGAATATTGTATTTAAGTTATAATGGCCATAGAAATGTAATGGTCCTGCTGTCCATCCATACCCTTACAGCACATTCATCCTGAAGAAATCCTCCAGTACCTTTCAGACTAAATGATCATCGTGGTTGCAGCCTTTTTTATGGTGTCAGCAATCAGTAGGGAAGGGCAGTGTGCTGTTTGTGTGAGCTGGTATTTAACATGTGCAAAGGGAACAGCACAGCTCGGGCAGCATGGATTGGCTTAGAGGATCCTGGGTGTGCAGAGAGCAGTGCAGGCTGAGAGTTCCCAGGTGTCAGGACCGGTCATCCTTTCTGACTCTGCAGGTCAGACTCTCCCCTCAGTGGTCCCTGGGGAGTGAACCTAAATCATTACTCTGGATTTTGGAGCAGTAGTGGGGTGAAAAGGATTTCCTGGCTGCGGTGCACAATGATACAAGTCTATCTGTATTCCTGCATTCTTAAAATTGTAGTGCTGCTTGACACATTAGCTATACCCACTTCACTTGCAAATGGGGCTCTTTATAATCTAACTAGAAGGATGGGAGCACTGAGAAGCCAGCCTTTCCTAGAAGGATGTCCTCTACACATAGGAGCTTCTGGAGCAGTGCCTTGAGAGACTCCACTGAGTGCTGCCCTGATGATGCTGTAGGTCATGCTGTTGAGATCATAAAAAGTGCCCAAGAGGATAATGGTTAAGTTCCCCAAGAGAAGGATGGGATACCAAGGAGAAGTGGTTTCCCATCCTTCTTAGGAGAAGGTTCCTAGCTGAGGAGCAAGATTGGAGAGACAGCTTTACTCCCTGTAGTCTTCCTTTGTAACATTAGCTTTATGTCTCACAAAAATCACATTTTAAAAAGTAATTGGGCCTTAAAGATGCAGGTGATTTCCTTAGGTTAGGTTCAAAGCCTCTAAAAGTGGCAATTTAATGGCTTCCCAGCTTTGTGGACCTGCATCTCAGTTTTTCTCTTGGACAGTGACTGTAACTGGGGCTCTGCCACGAAGACAGCTTGCACCAGAGCCTGTGATGTGCCTGGTACACAGCCCTGCAGGCAGTAAGTTGTCTCCTTGTCTGATCTGCCTCAGTGCTAAATTATGTCCAGCCTATGTTAGTGTGCCATGATGCATTGATACAGACAATTTTTCAGCACCTGAGGCCCTGGTTTTGAGATTACTGACTTGTTCCCTTCAACAAGAGGAGTAAGATTAGGGAAGAAATAAGGTGAGAGTGGGGAAGAAATCAGGCACTTGTGTGTGTCCTTGTCTATTTTCCCCCACTGTGAAGCACTAATTGGGGACTGAATGCAAAATTTCATTTCCCCTGTTTGTTCTTACAGGACTCATAGAAGAGTTAGAAAATGTCATGATATAATAGTACAAGGGATGGCAAAGCTCACATGGAAGTGGAACACTGTGAAATGTTGTCAGGTCCTAAGGATGCTCCTCTAATAACACTCCTTTGGCAAAATAGGGAGTAGGCAAAGTTATCTGCCATGTGATGGTCTGACTTGGCATTTACACCTTGCAAGCCACTGTTCAGCAGCTCAGCAGTTTAGGATCATGGAAATATAAGCAGAGAGGAATGTTGTTTGAAATTGTGAGATGGTTTGATAAACTTCCTTCTTTTACAGATTCGGTTAAACAGCAGAGGACTTATATATTCTGTTGGTCTCCTGCTGGCATCAGTTTTTGTCACAGTATGTATATAGTCTTTTGTTCTTATTTTCCAAAAGAGGGATTTTTACAGACATTTTCTTCACCTGCTCCTTTCTCAGCTCCAGCTGAAATAGTGCTTGTAAAGTCTGTTTTTACAGGGTAGGGGTGCTTCCTGCTTGAAAAGCTTCCCAGGGCCTTGATTCAGCCCTTTGCAGGAGCTGTCACTCCCATGGGATGACACTCCTGCCTGTGTGTTTGCTGTGGGAGGAGCCTGGGAAAACCATTAGTAATCATTAGGAATTTCTATGCTAGAGCTAGGTCCCTTGATGCATGATGAGATCCATTGTCCTGTGAGACAAGCAGACAAAATGCTGAGCAGGTTGCTTGGCCCTCTCTGGGATCCTTCTGAAATACAACACAGTCCAGAAAAAACAGTGCCTGACAATGTTTCTGTTGAAATCAGTACTTGGTGTTCCCTGACCTTACCCAGAAATGATAGAAGAGGAATGATGTGACATCTTCCAAATCTTGTGGGAGGGGCATCCTGTGCAGTGCACACCAACACAGTTCCCACATACACAAGATGTTAATCCTTGGTGGGAGCAAACTGTGCAAAGTCAAGCAGTCTTAGACTGTGTGGCTCTAGATTGGGATGCAAAGGAGTACGTGAAGCATTTTGAGTTTAAAAAAAATAAAGGAACCTGGCCTTTAAATCCATTTCTGATTGAATTAAATGGGATTGTTCTTGCCAAAATTAAATTCACTGCAGAAACCTAAAGTGAGATGATGTAAGTCAGGGTGGCTTTTGTGACTGCTGCTCTGATTTACTTGAGCTGTGGTTTTCAGCTCACTTGGTGCAGTTTGTGATTGCTTCCAACTCATCATCATCAGTAAGGGGACAGCCCCTCCTCTAGCTGAGGAGGGGATTTACCACTTTATTCAAAATGTTCCTGCTGTGGTGGCTTACTCTGTGTTTATTGTAGGTTTTTGGTGTCCACATGAACAAATGGAAACTGGATAAGAAGCTAGGGTGTGTGTGCCTTTCCCTTTACGGCATCTTCCTGTGTTTCTCCATCATGACAGAATTCAATGTTTTCACTTTTGTGAACTTGCCAATGTGCAGAGATCACTAACCCAGGTGGCAGACTGTCGGGAGGAGCTTCCTTTTTACCTGTGCAATACAAGCCACGGCTGGCATTTCCTGGATGCAGTGCACCTCCAAGTCGTGACCTAGATCCTGTCACTGTTCATAGGACCCGTGGCCCCGTCTAGGTTTGCCCTCTCCCTGGCCCTCACAACCTGGAACAATCCTTCATCGATGTGAAGAGCTTTTTTTCAACATCCATGTGATTTCCTTGCTCAGTTTTTGAACAGTGTGACTGAGACTCAAGATGAACTGGCTGCTAACTGGCGTTAAGCCAGTCAAAACTGGTCTGCTACAATTCCTTCTTTTTTTAAGTTATTTGATGGAAGACTAATTAATTTATGACTTAAGACTATTGCTACAATGCAGGAGAGGGTACGTCATATGGAGGCTGACTTTCAAGGAGAATCATTGGGAATTTTTTTTTGGTTGTGGGGAGTGTTTTTTGTTTGTTTTTAGCTTTTAGTTTCGGGTTTGCAGGTTTTTTTTGTTTGTTTGGGGGTGGGGGTGTTGCTTTTGTTCTTTTTTTTTTTTACTTGCCAGAGATCAAAGTCCTCTCTTGCATCTTCTCCTCCTGAGTGCTGGGTCTCCTGTAACAATCCAAAGGCCACAGGGCAGTGTAAAATGGAAATGCAATTCAAGGTACTCAGCATAAGAATGGACAAAAGAAGATTGTCAAGGAAAAAACTGATTGACTTTTTACTATAAATAGTTAACCTTGTACAAGTTTGTTAAAGAATGCAAGCTAAATGTGGATTCAAAGGGTAAACACTGCTACCATTTTACTATGAATGTTGGAGTTTTATTACTAGGGTGTTTGTTATTTCCAAGCAATAGTTTGATCGCCAGCCCAGAAGGGCTACCAAGCAGGTGTCCTGGTTTTTAATGGTCTGCACATGGAAATGGAAGGTCAGAACTTTCTCTGCTTCATCAGATTTCTTGTTTTGGGGGGATTCAATAGTTTGTGTCTTATTCGTTCTGCGAAGGACATAAGTACATGTGAAAACTTTTCTAAATGAGTTACAGACACTGGTTTCTTTAAGAGGAAAGAGGCATATTTTGCACAGATATAGTTACTGAAGTCATAATTTGCCATTCTTTAAAGAATACACTGGACCTGGCCAGATATTTTTTCGTCTTAAGCAGTTGAACTTATCTGATAACAGATCATGTGGATTCATCACCTCTCCTTTTGGGAGGGAGGAGGACACAGACACAGATGGCACATTTTAAAACGTGGAATATCTTCAATGCAGACTCGCTCACAGATCTTAAGTTATTGTGAAAGTTTAGCTATTCATTGTTCCAATATCCCTGCTAGATTTTGTATAATTCTGTATTAATATGCAGGCAGATTCCACCCCTGATAAACACCATCACTGCTTCATTTGTATGTATTGATACTGTGCGTTCTCGCCACTGCGGCTCTTGTATTTACTTTAAGCACTGATCACTTCTGATCCTCTTGTATATGTTCTGCTATGAAATGTATTAAGAGACTACCAGCTAGGTGAATGTTTTTGTCTATGGTACAAACAGTGACAAATAATAGTAAAGGTACAGCAAACCCTACATAACAGAAAGAAAGGAAAAAACCCAAAACACCGAACCCTAAACTATAGCAGAAAAAGAAAAGCACTCCAGTTTAAAAGAAAAAAGAAGAGAGCCACGTTGTGTTCACAGATGAAAAGCCAATTTTTTTTTCACTTGCACTTTTGGAATCGATTTTTTCAGTCTGATTTTCTTTGAGCAAAATGTTGTAAATGAAAATATTTACACCCTGTGGTTTCCCTTCAGCTCAGCAGCTGGTTTTCTTTGTTTGTTACACCAAACATGCGGAGGCACTGGCAGCTCTTGCACTGTGCATGGCAGCGAAGTCCTGTGGAAAAAGCCACATCCCACTGGCCTCGCTCGGGGAGCTACGTGTGCAGGTGGATCCCTGGCAAGAAGAAGAAGGGATCCAGGGACAGAGAGCAAAGGGAGTGGATGACATGCCTGCATCTCCAGTTTTCATCCTGGAAAGCAATTGTGTTGCTGCTTGTTGAGGTCTGCAGCTGAGGTTTGAGCAGCCTTCTCACACCTGTGCCCGTGGAACATCCTCTTGTGTTAGGAAGCCCACTGTACCTTCCTGTTGTTGGGTTTTTGTTTCTTTTGTTGTTGTTGTTAATGAGATGATGAATAATAATAGCAACTGTTAAAATGCCTAAAATACTTCTGTAAGTCAAATGATGTTTGCAGCGATGTGGCACGGATCACTAAAGCCACCCCACAAACACGCAGCTTCACTTCCTAGCGAGATGCAGTTGCTCCTAAGAGTGTGTCCTTGCTGATAAGGGGAAGGAAAAAAAAAAAGAAGTTTCATATCAGGGCCTATTATTTCTTCTATTTTGAATATTTATACTGCTGCTCCAATGGAGCCAGTTGGATCTATTTCTGCGAAATAGCCATTACCTATCCCGTGGCACAAAAACTACACACGTATTTCTTAGGAACTTTTCCTACTGGTGTGCGTTAAATACTGTAGTAATTGTAGTTTTGTGTTGTGTGTAAAACCTGAAATACCTTGCTTTGATACTTGTGTGTGTTTCTAGAATGTTCTGCAAGCAGCTTGTTCTAAGCAGAAGCAAAAGGTACCTTGAACTGCTGTTACCTGTGCCGTAGATGGCTCGATAAGCACGTCCTAAAGCGATGCTTTCTGCCAGATGTGCTGATGATTTCCAACGAAATCATCAGGTCCAGGCCTGGCTTGGGACAGAGCAGACCGACTGTGCCAGGAAAGAGCGTGCCTCCCATTCTTGTTAGCACAGTCACAGCCTATGTAGAACAGCAAAAAAGCAGCAATTTTTGGCATCCTTCCTGTATGCTGTCTCCAAAAGTGGCACGGATAGTTCTATTCCGATGCAGGGCATACTCAGAGCTTTACTGGGCCTTGCAGAGGACTGTCTCTCAGGAGTTCTCCTAGGGAGGTTGTCCCCTGCCAAGGTCAGACTGGAGGGCAGCCAGTGCCTGGCTTCAGTGTCCCCGTGGGAGGCTCTGCTTTGCCCATGGATGCACGAGCTGTGAGCTGTCACTGGAGGCAGGGCCCCAGGAGCTGGCCAGGCTGGCACAGCCACTGTGGTTGGAAAGGGGGAGCTGAGGGGCTCTGGGCTCAGGGTTGGGGGGCTGCAGGGAGCCACCAGGGAAGCTGAGTTCTGTTGGGTATTTTTAGCATGATTGTGATTCAGTTTTCATCTTCTGAAAGCAAGGGTCACCTTCGCATCCGAGGCTGCTCTGGTTCTTGGACCAGTCAAATGTTTTTGTTTCCATTCCTAGCAATTTCAGATGAGCTTCAGTGAGTATTTCAAAGGGAGATTAAAGAGCCTTTTTCTCCGTGGAGAGGCTTCACTGCAGTTCTTACTTTGACTTAAATATGTGACCCTTGGCTGGCTTCAGATCTGCTTGACATGGATGGCCTTCCTTTGACAGTGGTTCAAAGGCAGAATGACAGGAGAGGGTATGATAAGAGATGGTCTTAAACATGCTGGGAAAACTGCTTTTGTCCCTACCAAAGGTGAACTTTTTACCTGCCTTTTTCCCCCTTTTTTTAAAATTTATTTTTGTTTTTCATGTGCTGTGCTTTTTAATAGACTTTTTCTGTGATAGGAACACCAATATGAAATGTGTGCATGGGAGATTTTCACTTGGATAATTTGTTGGTTTTGCTGTGATGCCACTTGCATGCTTAGTTTCCAGATCTCTGTCCTCAGCTGTGTCACTGAAATCAATTGATTAGCTTTGGATATGTGGTGGTGGTGCTTGTGGAGAACGAGGTGCAGGACTGGGTTTTTTTCTTGACAAAACAAATCAGGTAGAACAGCAGTTATATTTTAGAAAAAACAACATTCAAGGCAGGTGGAGTAACCTGAAGGTAACTTTTAATACCCTGCTGCCAGAACAGGGATTTTTATGTCTTTTTCAATTGATACTTGTGAGATAAAATGTACATTCAGTATTGTTGAATAACTTTTTAGAAAACCATAGCTTTCTGCTGACTGACAAATATTTCTTATATTAAGATTTTTTGGAAGCCCTAATCCTTTCAATTAAAGTTCACAGAGATGCAATAGTGGCGAGGTTTGTCACTTTCAAAGTTACACCGCTGGAGCTTTAAACTTGTTTAAAAATATATTTTAAAAATCAATCTCAGTGGACCATGCTTACCTGAATTTCATTCTGCCTTGTACTTTCAAAGTTTCACTTGATCAGCAGCCACTGCAAGTTAGTCTAAAAGAGACTTACATCCTGGTAAGAATGTCCCTTTTAGATTGGTACAACTTTAACTGAATCAGTTTAAAGCCATGGTTTTAAGGAAAGCAGTGGAAGTTTGAATATTTAAAAGACCTCAGCCACTTCAGATTTAAGGAGCTGCAGAGTCTGAGTGTGCTGAATGGATGTACCGAGCAGTATGCAAGGCTGAGTTTCAGGAAGAGACTTTTCAGTATTCAGGGACTTGAGTGAAATCTGACCTTTGTGAAATCAGGGGCAGAACCCCCGTGACTGTTGTGGGGTCAGTGATGTGTTTGTAGCAGTGAGTCCTGGAAGGGATGGGGACACTGCGTTTTTTTGGGTGAGTGGCCTTATTTTCTTACCTGAATAGATAAATTACTATTAATTAATAAAACCAAGCACCTTTAAGGGAATTTACATGAATACTCTGTTACCACTTAGTGGCCTCAAATCCGAAGCACAGTTCCAAAAAGCATCTACTTCTGCCCAAACTGCTTGCACTTGTCTGGCTGAATCTGCAGAATCAAGCTCTGGTGAGAACTTGATGCCTTTGGGAGAAGTTCACTTTATTCTGGGAAAGCAATAGGGTAAGAAAAGGCAGTCTGTTTTGTTGTGTCCTGGGGATGTAAATTGGCTAGGAAATCGATTATTGGCTGGCCTGAAACAGTCTGACATCTAGGCCAAGTTATCCAAGTTTGGGTAGAAGCACCTAATTTCAGGAAGGCATCAAAAAAAAGCAGATTGTTTTAAGCAACATATTTTTAAACGTATTTATGTAGCAAAAATTACTTTATTGTGGTATTTTTTAGATAGGTTTCTGTTTTTCTAATATACTTGCAGAACAAATTTGAAACCCCCCACACCAGAACACCCTGACAGAAATCTTGTCAGTGTAATCTGTCTCTGCCAGGTAAGATTTGAATGGTGCTAAAAGTCAACGTGATAATTTTACAGCAGCAATTCAATGTAACATTTTTACTGCCAGCTGAGGAAAACCACACCACTGCATGCCTGACCCTGTGAGGAGCATGGTCACAGATCTGCTTCAGTGCTGAGCATTTGCCACTGAGGTTTTCCATTGGCATGCCTGACAAGCCAAGTGAGACCTTGGTTCCCGGAGGAGCAATGCCTGCTGCTGAGCATTTTGTCCTGTCAGGAGAGGAGAGGGCTGCAGGGGCACAGCCCCCTTGGCTACTCGTTACAGCTGCCAGCCTGGCATTACACTTGCTGCTTTTTCAGAGCAGGGGCGTATGTTTTTCTGAGGACCAAGTCTTTGCTTAGCTCTGGTCAGGGTTGCTTTTGGCTGATAAATGCTGGAGCAGGGGAGGGAACAAGGGCTCCGTTCACTTTATGTGTGTAGAGGAGGATGTTGAGTGGCAGATGCTGTGTCACAGGAGGACTTTGGATGGAGCCTGTATAAATATTGGGATGTTCCATGAAATCTCTCCCAGGGGCAGACATCCCTGTACACCCAGCAGCCACCCACTTTACTTCCTTATTTTATCTTGCCAGGATTCAGAATTTTGCTTCCACTTTCTCATAAGCTGTATCCCTCTGGTTTGAAGCTGGCCCACGTGCTGCTGTCTGTAACACAGAATTAACGACTGGGCAAGCACAAGTAGTGTGCAGGTTTTGATCCAGTAAGCTGATGGGAAAAAATGCAAGGAGATCCTTGCTTGGCACACCAGCCTCCAAGCACCTGACTCCAAACAGCACAAACTGCCTGCCTGGAAAGTGCCTGGAAAGTGCCACTGGGATATCAGGCACTGCACAGACATGGGAACACCTCTCATGTGTTTTCAGAGACTCCCTCAAGGGAATTTTGCACCCTGTACAAAGACATGCATTATACAATAAATATAATTGATCTAAATAAGGGATTCTAGATCTGACCTGGGCCTTTTACACTTTGTGAAACCAGATTATACTATGGGAGTTTTACTGAGGGACTTGGTCACAAGTTTATATAATTCACTGCCAGGTTCTAAGTGTTTTTTTAAAATGTATGAACATAGGTTTGTATGCAAACAGAATACAATCTTTATATATATATACACTTTACCTAGTGAGTAAAGTATATGTGTTAACTGTTGTTAAATTGAAGCCCTGTGGTAACCAGCTGTTTCTGCATAGGAATAAATTCTTACCATGGCAAGTGCTAAGATGCTATAGGTGTATGAGTATTTAAGACAATCTTACACATGCCTATTTATAAACTCAAGCAAAGTTTTTATTTGTTTTAGCAAGGTATTGTGAGTGGTGCATGGCAGCTGCCATGCATCTGTGTAATACATCTGTGTACATTGAGTAATATTTCTAATTATTGTTAGTCATTTGAAATTCCAGTTCTATTGCTGAATATAAAGTCAGCTTCGGGGAAAAAAAAGAGCATGTGTGAGACATTGAGGAGGTCAGAAAGTTCTGCACTGCAGTATTTGTGCATTTTATTTATTTATTTATCAAACACAGAGTGCTGAGCCCCTGGTTCAAGAAAACATTTCCCCATGCTGGCAGAAGATCTAGGAACCTAATTTTGGTCCCCTCCTAAAGCTAATGCCAGGTTTCCCTGGGTCAGGGGTCAAGCAGACTAAGCTATTTAGAGCATTGTTCCGTCCTTTTAAGTGGCCACAAAAAGGGGTGAGACCTTCTCAAATGGTTCTTGTAACTTTTATTAGTAGAGAAGCTGAGAAATGCTGAGAGATCCAAAGATGCTTCTGCAGGTGATCTGTAAGAATAAAAACATGTAAATAGTAAATACTCCTTGCACTTTTAATACTTGTAATATCACTGTCACGAGGTACCATTTGCAATAACCAAAATTCACATTTCATAAGTTACCCACAAGTAGACTTTTTTATTATTATTTTTGAGGTTTTTATTTTTTTCTTCCCCCTTTCTGATTAAGGAATTAATCTTCCTTTGACTTGTTTTCCCCAATTCTTTTCAACAGTAAGTGATTGGCTCTGGTTAAATGTGAAGATCCCCCTAAACCAGGTGTCACATGCCAGCTAATGCTTGGGGGAAGCTGACATTTATTGTCCCAGCTTTATGACAGGGTTGTTCCCATCTGCAGCAGGCAAGGACCTCCCACCTTGAAATCCTGCAGTAGAAATGGTCCCAGCACTCACAAACACAGCACTCCCCTATTTCCACCACACTGGTTTGGTTTCAGGGGTCAGCAGATCTCCAGGGTAGAGCAATCTGTCACATCATCACTATCAGGGGGGATACAGTAAGGCTTCCTGGGGGAACACACAACAGCAACAGTGGAGTCCTTTTGCAGACAATGTATTGGAAGAGATTTTATTTTGCCATCTTTTAAAGACATGGGGCAATTTTAGGTCAGGAAAGAAAAAAAATGGAAGATAAAGCCTGACTGTACAAAGTACAGCCTCAGTCTTTCATGAAGGTTTGTAATAATGGTCAAGTTTTGCATTGAGTGAGCTCCCATATTTTGTCAAGCATAGAGCTCAGCTGAGTTTTTCATCCTTGGTTCTCAGAAACAACTTCTTTCTCTCATGTTTCTCACTGCAGTCAGGACCTCTGAGCATAACATGCATTTCTGTATCATGGAACTGCCTTGTGAAATTGCTTATAGGTGAAGTGAGCAAGCACAGAGATTGAACCACAACGGGTTTTTGAAAGAAGCCAAAGCAAGCATGCTTGTGTAGTAATTTTTGTTGTGAAGTAATTTTTTTTAATGGGTGCCAGGAGCAAAGGACACAGTGGGAATCTGTAATCATGCAGCACCAGTGGAGAGCAAGTGCAGGTGAAAATAGTATGGCATCACAAAAATTTGTCTGCAATTTAGATACGGACAAGTTTCACGGGGGTCACATTTACATGAAGATTTTCCTGAATGCTACTTGATCTTTGCAACCCTTGGTCTTTGGTCAGGAAAGGTGAGAAGTACTTTGTCCCTTTCTGAGGGAGAAGGGAGAGATGCCTAACCCAATGTTTCCAACTCTCACCCTGGCTCTCAGGTGTGCAGTGAACTTTGCAGTGCATTGAAAATTTAGGGGTAAATTTTAGTTGGCATTCCCTTGAGGAGCAGTGTGATTGACTTCATTGTCCCCCCTTGTAAAGCTGAGAATCCCTACTATGCAGGGAGTGTTGTGTGAGATTACTAATGGAATGTTACCTTCATCCTGCATCCAATCTTTGCTTTCAAGACTGAAACACTACTTGGAAGATGTTTGTAACAGTTTGGGGAATTTGTTTTTTGTTTGGTTGGGTTGGTTTTTTTTTGAAGTTTTTTTGGTGTCTGTCAAAGTCCTGTGCAATATGAACCCTCCTGGCAAGGTCTGGCAGTGTTTTGGGTGTTCCTCTTGCTGGTGCATTCATCAGAGCTTCAGCCAGTGGGACGTGTGGGAGGGTAGGAGTGCCACTTCTGCTGGGTGTGTGAAGGGGCACCTCTGCCAAGCACTCCAGCACAGGCCTGGCAGTGGGAGTTGAGACTCAGGTAAATCAGGATTCCAGAGAACAAAAAGGTGAGCAGACAGACCTGTTAATCCTCTAGTATGCTGTGCAAGTTTTAGCCCCTTCCGGTGTTTTTTCCAAGCCAAGACCAAACTGATGTGTGTACGTGGGTGCCAAGCCAGAGGCAGCCAAGCTCAGCACCCCCAGTCAGCCTGGCATCACCAAGGCATGTGGGCACAGCCCCAGGGCCAGCACTCCATCCTGGGTGGGTGGGGGGTTGTTTAAATCATTTCAGGGCCCAGCAGTCAGGTGAGATCTAATCATTTCACAGAGCTATAATGGAAGATGTGGGTTTGTACTGTTGCTGAAGTCTTAGGCTGCTGAACGTGATCCCTGCTGTGGCTTGTTCTAAAACAGAGGGCTGAGAGTGTACCAGTCTCTGAATCATGGTGTGGTCTCTGCTTTGTGATACAGTCACAGCATCCAAGCTGCAGGAAGCACAGCAATAAAAGTGACTGATAGCAGCACTTTCTATTTGATTGGGGATCAGATGACACTGTCTGGGTCCCTTATCTCTGGGCAATTCTGTGATGCTTCTCATCATAAGGAAGAAAATGTAGGTGGAACTGAGTGCAAATATACATATAATGTATGTTCATTTACAACCAGCCAGAAAGCAAAACAAGCAGTGGTTTCTAGTAATATAATTCTACTCAAAATAGCTTTCTATTAAGTCAGCTTGAAAGTGTTAAAATGGTGGAGCCACAGACAAAACATTTGTTACCTTTTGAATTAGTTGCGATGGTTTTGTCATACTTGTACAAGTGTTATAAGGTCAGCCTTTCTGTATGTTTTACAACTAACTGTAGAGTAGCCTTCTATGCATAGCTGTTCCACTTGCCTGTGTAAGTTACAAATCTAACGGAAATGAAAGCATGCATTTTTCTCTGTTTGCTGGTAACCTATGAAATTAGAAACTTGTATTTCTGTGTTTTTAATGTGTTATACTATAAACAAAATTCACAGCACTATTGTCTATGGAATATCAAAAAGTTTTATCAGAATGAATTACTTTAAATGTTTTGTCAATTGATTTAATAATGTGTCAGACATCTACACTAAGACAATATAACGTTTATCAATAAAAATATCCTCTCTTTGTACTAACTTAACATTTCAGGGTGTGCTTGGACATAGGACTAGAGCACCCCTTTGAGTTCCAATCCCAATGATTTATTCATTTTTGGCTTAATTTTGAGAGTGCTTGTTTGACCTCAGCACTGGATTAGGGAGTGAAGGAAGAAGAAAAGAGAGTTTTTATACTTTGTATTACCTGTGTCACTGAATGTGTTTGCTGTAAAAGTGTGTGCACCACAGCAGCTCCTTTAGAAGTCATCCAGTACACATAGGAATCTGTGCAGAAACAAACACTCTGGGAAATTTATGTGTTATTATATAAAGAGTCAAATTCTGCTCTTTTACAACGGTACAGATCTGAAATTACTGCACTGCTGTTAATTTAATCTCTTCTAGCAAAGGGAAGCAGGTGTTGATTGTCACTCTCCCAGCTGGAGGAACCTGTGCCTGCTCAGCCATTGGAGCTGTGGTGATGGGAGCCAGTTCTCCCTTGGAAGCAGTTCCTGGAGCAATGATTTCAGTAATGCATGGAATAATAATGAGGGGATGGGCAGCTTCCCTTGGAGTGCAGCAGGGCTGGTCAGAAGCCCCTCTGTGAGAGGGAAATACTTGTGCTGCTTTTCTACTCTGCACCAGCTAGGGAGCTGCAGTTCCCCCTCACCCCAGCTCAGCCTGCCCTGGTGACAGGATGCTTCTTCCTCCTACCTCATCCCCATGGGACACTTCAGCAGTGCCCCTCTCCCATTGTACTTTCCCTGAAGGAAGGGCTTGAGATCCTGGCATGTAACTGGGTCTGGGTGCCTCACCTTAGCCACCTTTACTTGTGTCTGTAACATCCTCTGACAGAAGGATCTGTTCCTTCTAGTACATGCCATGTCTCCAAGAGGCAGTGCTGTGTCTTAGGCAGGTTATTTACATTTACACATCCCCAGCTCATTCCAGGTACAGAAGAGTCCTGCAGTGCAGAAAAGGCACACATGCTGATCCTACGCCTCTGTCCACGAGCACAGGGATGAGGTGCAGCTTTTGATGTTAATGCACAAAATGTCTTTGATCAGTGCCAGCCCAGCGGTTGTCTTGAAAATATTTTCCATTGGTGTAACTGTTTGCTTTCCATCTCTGTGTGCTTGCAACCCAAAGCATATGTTGGAATCCATACAGATGCTTCCACTCTCTAGATATTTCCCTATGACTGGTTTTCTGGTTCAAAGATAATCTTGCTTCTCGTCACAATTTGGTGCAGCTCCAGTTGGCTGTTGGTCTCTGAAGATACTCTCACTTCCTACCCCGTGCCATGGTGATATGTCAAATGTGCATCTTTTTGGGTTCTGCCTTGTGTGCTTCACTTCAGAAAATTTTTATGTAGCTTACAGCCTGGAAAGTTAGAAATTGGTTTTCAGAGATCAGGTGAGTATTTGAATTTCTAACCACTTTCATTAAAATTAGGAAAATCAGAGTGTGAAGGAAAGCCATCATTGCTTTCAATGGAGTAGATATGGATGAACATATATTCATATTCATGTATTCACTTCTGCTTCTTTAGAAGCTGTTCCTATGTTGCCTTTACAGTTATTCTTCAACTATCACAAACCCTGACTAAGCAAAGATGTGAATTCTCAGTGCAGGAGAAAAAAAAAAAGTATCAGAGCAAAAGTACAAACTGGTTAAAAGAAAACTAACCCTCCTCTCCCACATGACTACCTTATATACGCAAAATTAGAGCACAAATCTGTTTTTTTTTTTTTCCCTTTGGAGGTCACTTCTAGCTTGCTTTACAGAGGCCTTACTTGTGTCTGCCAGCCCAGAAGTTACTTGCTTTGAAGTAATAATTGCAGAGATAAGAGATCTGTTCTGTGTAAATTGCAGATAAAAATCTCCCTCCAGGCTCTGCCCACTTGATTTTGACCTGTTTATTCCATCAGAAAGAGTGTGTGCATGCTGGGCAGGTCATGGGGCTGCCTGGCATGCCAAAGCAATGGGATTTTACACTGCAGGAAGGCTGGGACATTTCCATACAGCCCTCATGCACACCTCCAGCTCCAGGTGAGACTTCCTACCTGAGGCTTCTCCCCATCTTTGCACAGGCATGCCAGGGCATGGACATCCTAGACGTGCTAACCACACCCTGGAAAACAAGGGCTTTAATTGTTAGAGCTTTTAGTGCCAAAATCAAATTGGTCTGCTGCCTAAAGCTGGGCAGCCCGTGGGTTGCTGCTGGGCTGCACAGCTCCTGGAAGTGCAGCTCCCAATCCCTGGTGCTGGGAGGTGGATGCACACAGGTGCTCCCAGTACTCTGGGCTTGCTGGAAAGCTGAAGCAACGTGTGGCCATGCCTTGGGGAGAGCGGTGTGGAGACATGGGACTTGGGATGAGCTGCAGGTATGTTGTTTTGCGTGGTTTTCCTCCCTGCTGCAGCAGTGATCAGCGCTCTGGGCACAGCTGAGCTCCTGCCCACTTCCCGTCCAGCTGCCTTGAGCAGGCTGCAGCATTCAGAGAGGAGGAGGAGGCTGATCTTCAGCCTCTGACTGTGGGGAACAGACAGCACGCTCTTTACAGTGCCAAGCAAATCGCTAGAGAAGAGTAGCACGGAATAAACAAAACAGTTGAATGCCACAGCCTGGAGAGAGCAGGTGCAGTGAAACTACTTCAAACTGTGCACACAAGATTTTACAAGTGAGCATTTTAAAAATAACCAGGGAAAAGAAAATTATTATATCAGCTGCAGTGCAAATGTCTCAAACAAGTAACATTTTAAAAAGAACTCTGCTTTGTATGTGAACTTAAATCAACACTGTTCTGCCTGAAATTCTTTTGTGCTGGCTGCAGGGAGAGCTTGGATTTTAGAAGTGTATTTTCTAATGTTGCAGAGCAATGCCATCTAGGGCATAGAGCCTTACAGTTACCAACGGGAATCCATCATTATGACAGAGCTTCCTGGATTGAATATTTATAACTGGTTCATCACATCTGCATTAGGCCTGTTGAAATTTGCTCATTTTCAATGTCTGTTTCCAGTTTCAATATCTGTTTTCTCGACTATGCTCAGTTGTCACATATTAGTGGATTGTTTTGTCTCAACTGCAACATAATTAATTTCTGGATATACCTTATTTCCTCCTTAAATCCTCTTGCTAGCTTTCATCCATGCAGCTCAGCAGGGATTACTGATGGTCTCTCTAATCTTCAGCTACTCGAGGAATCCGCGAGGCTGTGACTAGAGCCACAGTACACTTGGGCAGTGGATTAAAATATTAAACCTAACAGGCCAGATCCTGTCATCCTTACTCAAAGCTATTTACTGTGTTGCTGAGCCTCTCCTGTTCAAACCAAGCTGCCTCTAGAGTGCTGGTCTGTGTTAGCTGAACACACCCCAAGAACCTGGCCTGGTCACAGCCTGTCCTCACTCCTGGCTGATGCAGCTCTCTCCAGGCTGAAGATGAAGTACCAAATACAAGGTAAAAATCTTCTGGGTTTTGTCAAGACCTGTGGCAGTAATGATTGATGAACTTGGACTCACAGGTACTACGTTTTAGGTACCATATCTTCTTGCTTCCTGCCATTTGAATTCATAATGCTTGGCCTTTCTAGGGAATGGTAGCAATATTTAGTGGCACTTTAGACAAATACTGTTTGTCTCTGCAATGGGTTTTGTTCTGTAGACACAAATTTGCTCCCCATTAGAGAAGAGCAAGTTCTTTAGTTTGCAAACCAGTCTCAGGACATTCTTCAAACTCCCGAGGTTGCACACCAGGTTCTAGACCAGCCTCTGTGAGAGCTGCAGTTGCAGTTGATGATCCTCAAGTTCCTGGTTGTGTAAGACTTTGTTGTTTTTACAAGCAGCTCCAAACCGAAGGCAGAATACTTGACTGCAATTTGAAAGCATACTGGGAAATGTTAGTACTTTCACTAATAAGCACAAGAGTTTTTAATGTAGCTGCAGGAATTCTTTCCCCTCCCCTGGAATAGTGGCATTCTTGTTGCTGTCTGAGCATAGAGGCCTGATTCTCCTCCACGTTCGTAGTGGTCTGGTTTGGCTGCCAAGAGGTAATAAAGCAATGCCTGCTGCTGCCTTAGAACAGCATTGTCTGTGGGCACTCCAAGTCTGGGGAAGGATTAGATATTAACAGTGCTAATTAAGAAGCATAAAGTGCATCAGTAATTAAATTTTTGTAGGGTCTGATTAAACAGTGCACTGTCAAAACATGATGCTGAAGTGACTTGGTTCATCACAGTTCTCCCTTGTTGTCCCATAAATTGGTATGGTGTATGTCACCCCTCACTGTAACTGGAGATCTAGAGCACAGATGACTTTATTTAGAAAACAATTTTAAAGCCAGGCTAAAACCACTGTCTTTTCCCCTCTTCAGTGTAAATATAAAAGGATGACTCACAATCATTACTTTCCTGCAAGTTAGGACAGCTGTGAGAGGAAGACTGGAAATATCAGCCTGGTTTTTTTTGAAGGTGATGACAGCATGCTGTTTTTTGCCAGGACTCCATCCACCATCGTGAGGCTGGTATTTCCAAGTCCAAACTTGGATCAACTCGAGTTGCTGTGCTTCAGTGGTGGGTCAGAAACAGAATCAGGGATGCTGAACTAGGGTGCACTGAGGAAATCCTTACCCAAACACAGGTCCTACCACTGCTTCACTCCTACCCACACTGTGCCACCTAAAAAAAGATACATGTTCAGCAGTGGGATCAGAATGTGGCTCAGATAATTCCCAAGTTCCTGAGGATTATTCACAGCTAGTGTCTGGCAGTCATCATCTCCCTTGACAGAGGTCTCATCACTGCTGCCATGTTACTTTGGCTTGGACTATAGAGAAAGGAACAGCTTTTGGCAGAGACACAGCTGGAATGAGCTTTCATTGGCAGCTGGAGGCTCATCATTGCACCTCCCCTCTTGCTCCCTGAGCTTGTGAGGTTGCTGGTGAGGAGATGGATCCGATGCCATGGCCCTCACCTCTTCCTTTCACAGTGCTCAGAGACATATGTGGTGTTTCTGTGTTGCTTTGACTCTGCAGGGGTTTTCTGAGGAACTTGGGCTTCTGCTGCTCACCTTCTCTGGGACCTGAGATGTCCAAGTGTTTGCACATCCCTGTATAAGTGTACATTGTGTTTGAATTCTGTTGTCAAAAAAATCTTGAAATTAAAAGAGGGAAGGTAAAAAGTAAGTGCTGCTGAGCTGGAAATACAGTTCTGCAGCTTTTCCACTTTTTAATTTCCTTGCTGGTCAGGAAGTTTAGCTGTTGTCAGCTCTCTCATCAGAACCCCACCGTGGAGATCTGGAGATCTGTATTGATGTGAGGGAGTGTTGGAAAGCTGTTGGCCAGACCTACCTCCATGGGACAAGGCTGAGAGAAAGGGAAGAGGGGAAACAAGGAGAGATTCTGCCTCACTGTACATTGTGGGGCAAGAGAGCAGAGCACAGAACAACTCAGGATCCCAGTACTAGCCTAGCTACAAAAACTAGGCTTGCAGAAAAACTAGTTGGCTCAGTTCTGTGGGGTTTTGTTCACTTGTTGGTTAGTGGGGATTTTTGGTCACTTATTTTCTTTGTATGTGTGTTATTATGTTCCCTTTGATATGTTCACAGTGTATGAAAAAGTAATCAGGAAAACTAAACAAAACATCTCTGTCTGTTTTGCTCTTGAGCAGTTTTTGCTGTGCCTCCTTCATGCAGTTTGATTCCCATTTCCCTCCTCTCTTGCTGTAAGGAACAGCTGACTGCAAATCAGAACAAGAAATCCAGCATGAAACCAAAAGTATAACACACATAATGCTGCCAAGGGCCAGATTTGGAATGCACTGAAGTAATAGCTGTCACGTGCTATAAAATGAAACACACATCACGTTTTCAGGTGAGAAAAGGTCACTCTGAAGTCATTGGTGGACATGACCTGGTTGTGGAGCCCGGGGTGGATGCACCTCCATGGCTGGGAGATGGCACAGTTGTTCCCATGGAGCAGAGCAACGTGTTCAGCTCGCAGGAGAGAGATCCAAGCGTCTCCTCTGTCTTTTCCTGGGCTGAGGTTTCTCTTCTCACTCCCACAGAGCTCAGAGCAGTGTGACAGGCGTCTAGGGCAGGAGCCAGAGCAAGAGGAAAGTGTCTGGATGCAGGAATCTTGGCTGCCATGAGAGAAGCTAGCCAAAGGAATTAACAGTTTCTGCTCCTTTTTGCAGCTGCCACTGTGTGACAACAGATCAGCAAGTCTATGTTCTTTCTCTGTGGCACCTTCTCAGGACACTGGAGATCCATCCTGGTAACACGCTTTTCCTTTGAACTTGGGACGTGATCTTTATAGCTGGAGTACATACTGCCCTGCCCCAGTCAACCCCAAATTCCATGGGAAATCTTCCCTCACCTCTCCATGATTTGTAACACAGCAGAGCAGCAGCTTGGGGAAAGCTGTGTGCCAGTCTTGTCCAGACTAGTCAGGTGCTCGGGAGCATCCCACCGTAAATCCTTCTGCCTACAAATTGCTCTCTGACCCATACCCATGTGATGGAAAATACAGCCCAGCTGTTCAGGGCTTGGAAAAAAAAAAAACACCCCGCTGTTCTGCAGGCTTGCTGTATGTACAGGAAACCATGCCAAGCCCATCTCACAGCTGGATTGAGGAGAGGGGTCTCAGGGATAAATAAGAAACACAAGCCATGAAACTTCACGCTATATCTCAGATTCTTCAAAGGCAGAGGCTTTTCCAGTGAATTTTTTGCAGGCCTTAGAGCTCAGTTCTGCTGTAGTTTGGCGGGGCTGGCTGTGCCCTAACCTGCCTCTTGTTTACTGCCTTTTCTGCTCTTGTTTTCCTCTGTGGCTGGCAGTTCACCTCACTGCTCTCAAATGTTTGGCAAGGAGAGGGGAGCAGCAGTGTCTCCCTTTCTCTCTGTGAAAGGGTAGCCAAGGGCTCTGATGGCTCTACCAAACCAGGCTGGACTTCAGTGTTCTAGGCTCCTGAATGAATACCAGCAGCTTCCACTGGACTGAAAAGTCAGTCACAATATAGTTCGTAATAAATGCATTTTAATGTCCCAGTTCTGTGTGGTATTTGTGCAGGTGGAGCCATTGCCAGTGGCCCTGGAGACACTTGGTAGAACTCACAGCTGCCACAACTGCCCAGCAGGACTGCTCCAGCTCATGCCAGAGTTCATGCCTCTCTCAAAAGGCAGCTGTAAATTGCATGGAAGCTGCAGCAACAGGAGCTGCTCAGCAGGGCCAACTGGGGCTCTTGGGCCTGAAGATAAACAGGAGCTTTCACGGAAGCCATGGATTAATACAAAAATTCCCTCTTGGAAATGAGACAGCCTTCCTTTGTCCTGCCTCCTCAAAGCTAGGTAAGCATCCACCTTTCATTTTAATGGTCTCCATTTTGGAATTGTTTATACCCCCTTTATTTTTTGCCACTGTGGTGTGTCTATGAACGTGTATGAATGTTTTTGTAACCAGGCTTGATGCGGCAGCTGCTCCTCACTGTGGTCACTGGCATTCTTAATGGGCACTGCTGGCAGCTGCCAGAATGGAAGGAAAATGTTGCTCTCATTGTTATTGAGATAACTCGCACTGAAAGGCATCCTGGAATGAGCTGTGGAAAATACACTAATAGCATCGAGGCTGCGAGTGATCTTAACCAGTTTCTTTGGCCCAAGTCGGAGAACTGCGCCCATGTTCCTGGTGACTTGGAGACTCCGTGAGGCCGCCCCACGAGCATGCCGGCGCTAAGGCGCAGAGCCCGCCCTGCCCCGTGCCCGGATTGTCCCCGCTGCCCTCAGGGGCTCTGCCCTGCCCCGAGCCCGGGCTGTCCCCGCTGCCCTGAGGGGCTCTGCCCTGCTCCGAGCCCGGATTGTCCCCGCTGCCCTGAGGGGCTCTGCCCTGCCCCGTGCCCGGGCTGTCCCCGCTGCCCTGAGGGGCTCTGCCTGCCCCGTGCCCGGATTGTCCCCGCTGCCCTCAGGGGCTCTGCCCTGCCCCGAGCCCGGGCTGTCCCCGCTGCCCTGAGGGGCTCTGCCCTGCTCCGAGCCCGGATTGTCCCCGCTGCCCTGAGGGGCTCTGCCCTGCCCCGTGCCGTGCCCGCTGCCCTGAGGCGCTCTGCCCTGCCCCGTGCCCGGGCTGTCCCCGCTGCCCTGAGGGGCTCTGCCCTGCCCCGTGCCCGGGCTGTCCCCGCTGCCCTGAGGCGCTCTGCCCTGCCCCGTGCCCGGGCTGTCCCCGCTGCCCTGAGGGGCTCTCGGCCGGCCGGGGCGGCTCCGAGTGCGCTGCCCGGCGCTGCCGCCGACGCGCGGGAGGCGAGGTGAGGCGAAGCGAGGTGAGGGAAGGGCGCCGGGCCGAGCGGGGGTCGCGGCCGTCCGTGCTGTTGGCGGGGCCCGACCGAAACCGCCGCCGCGAAAGCGCCGCGGGAGCGGGAGGGCCGGGCCCAGCCGAGCCCCGGTGCCGCGGGGCAGCGTTGTCCTCGCCTTGCTCTCACCAGGCTCTGCTCCTTTCCCAGCCGAGGGCGGCCGGTCGGGCCGGGCCCCGCGCTGGGGACCTTGCTGGTGTCCGTGCCCTGGGGTGTCCCGGCTCGGTGAGGGCAGCGCGGTGCGATCCCTGCAGCGGGCAGGAGCCCAGCCCCTGCTCCTGCACTGAGCAGTCCTCAGAGCGGGCATCTGCTCCCTTTGCTGGCTGGAACTCCTGGGGCCCGAACGCGGGGATGCGGTCAGTGTCCGGCTGCGTCCTCTTCTGAAGTCTTTCTTTGTAAATACTGTGTCAAAAGTTTGTTTTAGATGGCGCAGGTGTGATTTGGTAGGTGTAGAAAAGCAGACGGTGTATTATCCTCTGTGAGCTCGTCTTCCCATCTTTTCAGGCGACTGTCCTCTCGTTTGTTTTATGTGCTGATTTCCCAAAGTGTAACTCTTCAGCCCTATTAAATAAGGAACGTCTTTATGTGCCTTTGCCAGCGCAGCTGAGTTGATGAGGAGTGAGCAGAGCAGAATTTCCACCAGGTATTGGCGTGACAGCAGACGCCCCGGGGGTGAGCAGGACAGTGCTGGCCAGAGCCCTTTCTCCCCAGAGGATAGCTTGGGGTAACAGGTGAGGAACTGGTCGGGTGAGTGGAGCTGATGGTACCTGAAGAAGAGGTGTGTGTTTGCTAGGCAGGGGCTGGAAGGCTCATGGGGCAGTGCTTGGAAAGGCAAGGGCTCAACAGCCATGGCTCTTCTGCCCCACAGCAGCTCTGTGTTCAATTCAGCCATGTCTGCACCGGTTCCATGAGTAATTCTGTGTTTTGTTGTGGTAAAAGTATGCCAGTATAGTCTTGCAACCAAGCCCTTGAGTTTCCTCAGGCCAGATCTATATTAAGGTTCATTAGCCTCAGATCTGTTTAGCTCCAGAAATACTAATTTATTCCTTAGGGCTTGACTATTTAATTGGATCAGCAAGAGGAAGTGGAATGAGGCTGTCCTGGCCAGGGGTTTGTTGGCAGCTGTTGCTGCTGGCACAGCTGGATGCAGTGTCTTGGGGGGTTCTTGTGAGTGAACTGTGGTAGATCTCCCTCACCCTGTTACACTCCCAGCCATCTCAGTGTCTCACTGCACCCCTAGGACAGTAGTTCTGGTTTCTGTGTCAAACTCTGCTCCAGTGTCCCCCTCCTGCCACCCTTGCTGAGGCATTTTGGTGAGTGGGCAGCTGGAGATTACACTCCCAGCCATCTCAGTGTCTCACTGCACCCCTAGGACAGTAGTCCTGCTTTCTATGTGAAACTCTGCTCCACTGTCCTCTGCTCCCACCCTTGATGAGGCATTTGGTGAGTGGGCAGCTGGAGCGGTGTTCTGGTGTGTGGCTGACAGGACCAGGAGGGGTGGCTCCCGTTGCTCTTTGATGTAGAAGAAGACTAGTTAAGTAGAAGAGCTGTTGGGGCATTTTTGAGTTGTTTTTAAAGCTAGTTCAAGCAATGGCTACTGAGAGACTGAGTGATCAGTAGGGTGACTGAATATTTTTCCGAATGGAGATACTGCCTTGAAAAGAAAAGAACAGCACTGTTACTATAGCAGTTAAAAAGCTGCTGTTATGCACAAGGACAATGTGAGGTAATTCATCTCCCATCAGCAGCAGGGGATTGATGGAGTACTGTATCAAGTAGATATGGACTGAGGTCTTTTCTTAACATCTCACTAAACCACAGCCACAGTTCATTGTTTCTGTAGGATCACTAAGAGACTCTGTATCAGGAGAAGAAAGTAGATAAACAGCAAAATCGTGCTCTTACCTTCAAACACCGGTGGAGCAACACACAGAAAACTGGTTCTGTGCTCCAATGTATTGCAGGCTCTGTGGTTGTGTAGCTCTTGCCTGTGGCTGTAATAAATATTTGGCATACCATACAGATCTCAAGAGTAAGAGGTTTAAGAGTAAGAGGCTTTACGTAGAAGAGTTGCTGTGGAGACAATGCTAGGCAGAGTCAGGCATGTCAGTTACCTTTTTTTTGTTTGAGTCACTTATCATCCAGTCGGTAATGCCCTATCAGGAGAGGGGTTGGGAGTGTGGCTGAATATTCAGTACCCTTTGTTACACTGATTCACTGTGTAGCAAAACACAGAGATGTTTTAGCATGAATTAGATGGATATGAGGCTCTAGTTTTCTAATACATGTCTTACTTCAGAACACTGAAAATAAATTTCTCCTGACACATTAAATGCTACATCAAGACACTTAATGCAGTACAGTTATCCTGTGTCTTCTCATGGAGCACATGAGCTACAAAGGAGGTCATGGATGCTTCTTAGCATTTATGATGCTTGTAATCCAGAGTAGGACTACTGTAGGCATTACTGGTAGTGATACTCTACCACCTGCAGCTAGCCAGTGCTGAGGTGCTCTGGTTCACCTTACCATACGTATTCAGGAGCCCTGAGCATTTGCAGCTAGAGCAGGACAAGGAGAGAGAGCTGTCAGGGACATGGAATTTTCTTTGTCTCAGCTGCTGTGAGCCATGACATGCTTTGTTTGTGAAGTGCAGCTGCTGCTGCTGCTTCGCATTCTTGGCGGTAGAGTCTGAAGTGTGTCCATGGTCTGATCCTGCTTTTGGTCCGGGCCCTGTGGGATCCTTACCTGGCAGGGGAGACATGCTGTGCTTTAACCCAGCCTGGGTTAATTTGGCTTCAAGGACCTTTTTGTGGGTATACCAAGGCAAGCACATGCAGTCGTTTCTCTGCCTCCTTGTTCTACAAGACTGCTGCAGAAATGGAAAGTGGTGAAGGACCTGTAGGCACACCACAGCAGTCCATGGCTGCCTTCATGCTGGCTATTCTGCCCCAAAAAGCATCCCCTGTCTCAGCTGATGATGTGACTGGCAAATCAGAAGCAGAGGTTTGTGCAGTGCAGAAGCCCAAGTCCTTTTGTCATCTGGGCATTGTGCTGCTGGGAAAAGTGTGTGTAGAGTGCACCCTGCTGCTCTGTGCCCAAAGCAGGCAGGGCAAGAGTCTGTGCATGGAAGTGTTTGCAGCTGCCTGTTTCAGCTGCCTGAATTTTCAGGCAAAGCAAAAAGCATAATAGTGTAGCATAGTGTTCCCAGGTTCTCTCATTCTTGTGAAGTCCATTCTTTATGATGATCATTCTTGAGTCAAAGGAGAGTGGGCCTAGTTCTCCTCTGCTGACAGTATGTTTTATTCTTTATTGACTTCAGGGGAGTTGCTTCTGAATTTGTGCTGTTGTGGATGCTGAATCAGGCCCAAGAGCTTGGCTTTATCCACGTAATGTTTAGTTGCCTTATGTAGATTTTATGAGCCTGCATACAGAGAACCTGTTGTTTACTTTTTGAAGTAAAATTGAAAATTTTGTGGGATGGCTAAAGCCATGTTTCTACCTTGAGATGAGCAGAGCGAAACTACCCATAACAGAAAAGAAATTGTGGAGCTGCTGTCATGTTCTGTCATTAGGGTCATTCTGTTTTTTTGGAAATTTTGATCTAAATTAGCTCAGTTGAAAATTGTTGTGCGTTAATGCTGTACTGTTTCCTTTGGAGCTGGTAAGGATTCTGCCATCAGCATAAATATGGGAGAGGACTATGAAGATCTCACCATGGTAGAGTGAAAATAGCAAAAGGAAGTTTCTGGAGTCCTACCAGTTCTCTGGCAGGAATAACAGTATTTTGTAGTGTGTAATTGTCATTTTGCTGTTTGGAATTAGTGCACCTGTTTGTGTTGGGTGTTATGTGAGAAAACAGGTGATGATGCTGCATCAGGGAGGATTCTGCTCTGTGAACACTGTGTATAATGTGAGGGTAGGGTGAGAAAATGACATTTTTCCTCCTGATCTTGGAACAGGGTTTTGAGACAGCCTTGTAAATGAATGTTCTTGGAAGATGTCTTATCTGTAACTTGTCTTTGAAAAGTAAAAGCCCTGCTTTGCACATAAGCAGGTGTTGCCTGAGTCTTGAAAAATCTGAAAGCACTGGATGGTTTTGTATGGTATTCAGAAACAAAAGGACAAATCTTTTGCTGCAAATTGCTGTTGCCCCTTTACAACTGGCAGAGCACTGCAGATTGACTCTGGTGAGAGATGTTAAGTCGCCTCCTCAGTCTCATGTATACATGCTTAGATGCAGACACAACTCTTTTCTGAGGCACTTTTCTCAAAAAAAACCCCCAAACTATTATTTTTCCTCACTCCACCAGCTCCAGAATGTCATTTGGCCCAATGCCCAGAACTAAATACAGTGCTCTAAACAAGGTCTCACAAGTGGTTTGTACAGGAAAAGAAAAAGACCACAATAGCCAGATACTTTTTTGACTCTTAAATGGTTGTTTTGCACTTTTTTTTTTTTTTAATCAAAAATGATGTTTTTGGCTTCTACTTTGTATTTGCTAAATAGAAATCTGTGCTTTCCAGGAATTAACTCCAGGGCTCCTCAGTGCTGACTTTGTTGAAACATACATGCTTGCAGCATGAAAATAACCCAGAACCTTACTGGTTTTGCTTTCATGTTTGATGTGTATTGCATATGCTGCCATTCCCTTCTTAACTTGACTGTGGATCTTTGGCCTTGTCTTCCTCTAAATCCTTTGCTTAGTATTTTCTCCTAATGGATGATGATTTTTGAGCACATGCCAAGACATGCCTGTAAATGCATTTGAGAGCGAATGTGTGGAAAGCGAGGGGATCATTGACCTGGCTCCCTGGTGCAGGTGAGGTCTTGGAGCTGTGGAGCACATGGGGATGGAAGAAGGGAGATCTGAGTGAGCGGTCAGAGCAGCACAGGGAGCCAGTGCCTGGAGAAATGCTATTTACAAGTGCCCTTTCTTATCTTGCTGCCCTGCAGCACTCACTGCAAAAGTCAGGTGCTGTGGCAGGGGGGTTTCTCCTGTGTGGAGGAGTGGACAGAATTCTGAGCTGTTGTGTTCCAGCTCTTCCTGTGTGCCTGAGCCATTGTGGCAAGGTGCTGCTGTGTACTCCAGCTTAGTGCTGGTTCTGTGAGTGAACCTTGTCATAGTTTTAACTCCGGAATTAAAAAAAACCTGTACTTAGGCCTGGGGATGCCTGCTGCCAGTTTTGGATCTGGCTTGTGTGGGAAACTGCTCACCATCTTTTGCAAAGAAATTAAGTTTTTTAACTGATTATTTTTTTTTAATGCAGCCACGAATCATAACCATAACCTTCACAAAGATAAACATGCATCCTTGTGCCAGCTGGGGCCTTGGCATGCTTTATGCTGCATAACTTGCTGAGACTGTAATTTTTTTTGGAAAAGCAGTTAGATATTGGCAGCTATGAAATGTCAGCCCTCAGTAAATGTTGTAATAAGCTATTTTAGCTACAGCTGGGGATTTAAAAAAGAATAATTTACTCACAGCATTCTTGGTAGTTAATACAAGAATAAGAATCAGACTTTGGACACACTGAGTAGCTTAGGAGAAGGAAGCAGGGTTCTTGTGGTGTGTTTGCTAAGGGCCACAACTGTCTTGATGCATGACTGGGAACATTTAGGGTGCTCTGGGTTATGTAACTTGTGTATGCACCTGTGCCACATCATATCTCTAAATTTTTACCTTGGTTTTACTAGAGTTATCTGGATACAGCTGCTAAAGTGATGGTT